ATTTCTACTTCCTCCAACTGTTGTTGTCGCTTCCGGATGAGATACAAGCCCAAATCAATGTGCTGCACATGTTTTCCTTGTCAATCTCATTATCTATGCACATTCAAACAAATGCATAATCAATTAAACTTACATCTCCTTTCAGCCAGCCGTCAGCTTTGACGAGGGAAGCGAAGAATTCAATCTCAGCTTCCACGTTGCCAAATTGCATCACCAAACTATGAATATAAAAAAGTTTTAGAACACAACAATTACAAAATATATACACTCATGCCTTCTATCTCAAAAAACAAAGGACTTACTTTGGGTTATGGCGCCATTCCGAACAAAGTTTCAGCAATTTCACCATATCATCATGCGGAATCGCCTTCATTGGGTCTAACGTCCGAAGTCCGGTTGTCTTTGGCAAATTTTTTTTAACCACTTCACTAGCTTCAACGATCTTCCACATAGGAATAATCCTCTTCCTCTTCCGTAATTGGACCCCTCGTTCCACACCTTGACCTTCATCATTCAACCAAACGTTCAACTGAGATAACACAGCTCTAGGTTGATCCAAATCAATGTCCCCGACAGTAACCTCAACCTTTGTCCCCTCCGTGCTCTCGCCAATGTCATCGCCAACCAACATAACTTCATCATCCTCTTCCTCACATTGGTTTCTTTGCACTTCCTTTTCCTCACTTCTCTGTCTTTTCACTTCCTTGCCCTTTTTTTTTTTTTTTGGATCCTCTCCCTCACTGCTTTTTCTTTGCAGTTCTTCCTCTCCCTCAATGCTCTTTCTTTGCGCTTCCTCTCCTTTGCTGCTTTTTATTTTCACTTGCTCTCCCTCACTTCTTTTCCTTTGAGCTTCCTCTACCTCCCTTGGTTTTCTTTGCACTTGGCCTCCTTCAATCCCCTTCTCTTCCTTTTCCTCTCCCTCATTTCTCTTACTTGGCACTTCACCCCCTTCAATCCCCTCCTCTTCCTTTTCCTCTCCCTCATTTGTCTTACTTGCCCCTTCACCCCTTTCAATCCCCTCCTCTTCCTTGTCCTCTCCCTCATTTCTGTTATTTGGCCCTTCACCCCCTTCAATGTCCTCCTCTTCATTTGCCTCTCCTTCATTTCTATTACTTGGCCCTTCATCCCATTGCATGCCATCCACTTCCTCATATCCCTTAAATAGATGTGACACGACACAACGATTCGTCCTCTCTTTCAGTAAAGCTATGTCCCTTCTCACTTCCTGCTCAAAATGAGGACCTAAACAGTGGCCCAAATTTTTTTCCATCCGTATGACCTTTAACTCAAGGACGTCCTTTTCCCGCTTTACTTGAAACAACTCGGACCTCAACAAGCTTACCGCCTTGTTCAACTCATCAAGGTCAGCACATGAAGAAGGAATTGACTCTGCCGAGACAACAGCAGGGCGACCCTGTGGCCAACTCCAATATGGTTGTCTCATTTCCTCTTCACTTGGACATAGCGCCCGCAACTGAACTGACTGTTTCAGAAAACAGACAAGAGTCATATGCAATCATTCTACTTCATAATTTCATTGAATCTTATAAATAGTTCCAAGGGCTGCAAACCAAACCTCTTTGCTCTGGAAAAAATAATTGTTCAACTTTCTCATCTCGGGAACAGACGTAGTAGTTCTCCATCGCAAAATACGCGGGAGAGCTGTCGGATCAACAACCTTGCAGTAATTCAGGTCCACCATTCTAGGAATTAATTCATATACCCAAATCTACACAATTCACAGGACACAAGTTATTATTTAAGTTTTAAAGTCAACAGAACATAACGACATGAACATTATTACCATGTACCTGGAAAGCATACGTGAAACCTTTAAAACTCCAGCCACCCCTTTGCACTTCACCATGGTTATCCTTCTTGCCCTTCTCATTTCTCCGGCTTGTTCCGGTTACCTTACATTTCCCCTTCCCTCTTCCCTCTTCATTTTCAAAGCTTTTCACATACTTTGTTGGTGCAGAAAACAGACTGTCTTGGGTTTTGTCAAACGACACCGAACCCCATGGAAACCTGTTGAACGCATCCAAGTCCTCTACAAGGGTCAGGTAATTTAGATTGATGTTCAAATGTTTGTCCCTTCCCAAAACCACTAACTCAGCAAAGTAAACAAGAGCTAGCTTGTAGACGTCATCTTCCTCTGTGCACCTCACAAATGCTTCTTCTAAAGCATTACATGTAATTCCTTCGTCTATAAAATATCTTTTCTGAAGTCTAATTTCATCACTTTCTCCACTGGAAACTTCAGGCACTTCCCCAAAACGAAGCCCTGAGATCAAACAGAAATCCTGACGAGTGAACTGAGCAACGTCGCACCCTATTAAGAAACTCAGTCCATCCAAGTCTTTCACACCCTGCCCCGCTACTCTACGCAACACAACCCCATGCACAATCTGCCCGCTAAACTGAATCTTATCTATATTCAGAAGATGGCCAAAGCATGATGTCTTGAATTGTTCTAATTGTTCGGCACTCAACTTCGCTCGAATTACAGCTAGGGATGAATTTGCATGTGAGCAGTTGTTCACCCGTGAGGAATATGCCTCTGACTCTGGCCATACCAGCTCAACGTTGGATCCCATTTCCTGAAATACAAGATGAAATAACGTGAACACATATACTACCACGTATTTGCACAATCACATTGGTATTTACACAACTAGTCAACCAGCACATTACAAATTTTACAAAGTACATGCGCATAGGGATTACTGATCACAGGCTTTAACATCATCAAAGCAATATGACATATTTTGTGCAAATACCTGTTAATGCAATGATTCTGTGAATTACAAGCACTAGCATGTGTTTTATTTATGGATCCAAACTCCAATCAATGGTTGATGCATGAGTGAGTGTGAGTGCAATCTAGGCAAGTTCTGCACTTCACACACATGACAATTATTGTCATTTCATACACAACACAAAATAAATAAATAAATAAATGAGAAAGATGGTGGAAGGAAGCAAAGCAAAGCATCTGCTCTGCTATCTGCTCGCTAAGCCATTGCCACATCCTTCTTTCTTTCTAGCTTTTTCTTCAGTCAGCCATAATCGTCATAGATCAACCTTTTTTCAAATGCTTTGCACTTTTATTCATGAGTTTATTATTATCTGTTCTCATTTTTAACAGGCAAATTTAGTAACAACGGAAATAATATTTATTTCAAAAATTATATATATTCTAGCTCCAGAGAGATAATCTGCACTCTGCACTGCTTCAAATGTGGAAGGTTTTGAGGGCCTCCTCCAATTCAACACCATTACCTTATTCATATCATTATTGACATGTTATTGACATGTTATTGACTTTATATTCATTCGTTTTTTAACATATACCCAAGCAAAAATTAACATGCAAGTGAAGCACAAAGAAGAGATGCCAAATCTAACAACATTCATGCTACAAATTGGGGAAAACGGTTACTCTAACCCTAAACTCAAATTCCATAAATTACTCACCAAATGCTGGTTATTGAACAATCGCAAGGTGTCTGTGTTGGGTCTTTGTGCGGCTTTGCTCCACAAATGGAACCTATCACTTCCAACGAATACGGCTTCTCTCCTTCCCCTTCCACTGCTTCGTCTTCACTGTTTCAGAATCCACGCCTTTGCTCCTTCCACTCAAAATAAATACTTTTTCACGGTTTAGATAGTGGAGTTGCGTTCAACCGTCGTTAACCTTTGCCTTCAACCGTCGTTGCCCGTTGCCTTCAACCGTCGTTGCCCGTTGCCTTCAACCGTTTCTCAGAGCTTAGCGGTTTCTCTCAGCTATGAGTTTGAGATCAATGGGTTTTTTCTGTTCAAACTTCGAACTTGCCTCTCTTTTTTTTTTTTGTTGGGACCAACTTCATTGCTGGATATTAAATTCGGGTTTGGGTTCCTCACCTACCCGATTGCACAACTTTATCCCAATTCTCCCCAGCCCTTCGATTGATCCAATGACTATAAAGTGAACCCCTTATAAACCCCCCTTTAAAAAAAAAAAAAAAAAAAAAAAAAAAAAAAAAAAAAAAAAAAAAAAAAAAAAAAAAAAAAAAAAAAAAAAAAAAAAAAAAAAAAAAAAAAAAAAAAAAAAAAAAAAAAAAAAAAAAAAAAAAAAAAAAAAAAAAAAAAAAAAAAAAAAAAAAAAAAAAAAAAAAAAAAAAAAAAAAAAAAAAAAAAAAAAAAAAAAAAAAAAAAAAAAAAAAAAAAAAAAAAAAAAAAAAAAAAAAAAAAAAAAAAAAAAAAAAAAAAAAAAAAAAAAAAAAAAAAAAAAAAAAAAAAAAAAAAAAAAAAAAAAAAAAAAAAAAAAAAAAAAAAAAAAAAAAAAAAAAAAAAAAAAAAAAAAAAAAAAAAAAAAAAAAAAAAAAAACTTACCCTCATTATAGTCTGGACGGGGCTATTTGAGGGTTTGGTTACAAGCTTGGGCCTTGGCCAATTTGAGGATTTGGAGCTAGGAGTGATCCGTGTAGCTGGGGCTTTGGCAAGGTTTGAGTGAGTATTTTGCCATATCTCTTTTGTCTGGCCTACCCTTGCCGTTCGGCAAGGGTGTCTTGATCAAATACTTGATTCCCTGATATGATGATTTTGTTGTTGGCAGTCGGGTCTGCTTTCTTGTGGGCTAGAGTGACGGTCTCGAGGCTGGGCTTTGTAGCCGGTCCAGTTTTGGAGCTGAGCTCCGTGAGGTGTTGTTGAGTGCCTTGTCGCAAGCTTCGGCAAGAGGGACCTAGGGCTTTTTGCAGAGTCCCGGGCCCGTAGTGAGCCCAAGAATTTCTTCTTGGTCCGAGTCTTCGGAGGCTAGTGCTGGGCCGGATTAGAGTTGGAAACGGGAGCTGGGTTTTGGCCTAGGAAGGCTTGGAGCTGGGTCCTTTGTCAAAGCTGAGGTAACTACTGTCGTGAGGCCTCCTTTTTGTTTGCGTGGCCCTTGCTGTTCGGCAAGGGCATGTCTCATTTTTTTTGTTGCTTCGGCAACAAGGTACTCTTTGACACCAAAATGATTTTTCATGGGCCTTGCCGTTCAAGGCCTTAAGTTCCCTTACCTTTCAGTTTTTTTTTTTTTTTTTTTTTTTTTTTTTTTTTTTTTTTTTTTTTTTTTTTTGGTTGAATGAATTTGAATATCAAATGTTGTGCAGGTACAAGGATTTGGGAGGGAAGGTGAAAGGGTGCTAGGGTTTCTTGTGTATCCTAGGGTATTTATAAATAGAAGCTTGGAGTGACGTAGGCATCACACTTGAAGATTTTTGAGAAAGATTTCCAGAAAGGAGAAGGAGAAAAAGATTTCCGGTGAGATTTTGGTGGTGGTGCTTGTGGCCAAGGTGATTTCCGGCAACTCATTCGTGGTGGTGCAAACAAGGTTAGACCTCATTTCCCTTGACCTTTTGAATTGAAATTCAGCTTTTGGTATGAACTTGTTGAAGATTAGGATGAACACCTTGAATATGGGTATGAACATGATGAACACCCCGAACCTTGAGACGAACTTGTTGAATGTATGCATCTAGATCAAAAAGCATGTGGATGCCGTCCAATTTTGTGTTCTGTGTTTGGATCCTCCTTGCATGTGCATTAGTTCCTTTTTCTTGTTTCTGCATGTTGTAGATGTCTGACAGTTCTGATAAAGAAGGTCCGGACCCCCTTGCCTTTGGTGGGGATGATATTGAGAGTGAAGAGGCCAGTGAGTATGTTTGTTCTGAAGATGAGAGTTCCCAAACAAAGGGTTTGGTAGAAGGGCTTATAGAAGCTAGGATGGTAGTTCATGAGGGTGAGATGGCTGGGCCATCAGTAGAGTCTGGGTTAGAGGCATATAGGGAGATGTGGAAGAAGTATAAAGTGTTAGAGGCCAGTGTTGATCGGGTTCTAGCTTTGGCACATACACCGGAGGTGGGCTCGAGCAATCAGACATCACCATCAGGGTTTGTGGGTATAACCGTGGCTTCAGCTTCAGAGGGGGTGGACATTAGGGTTGGTGTCCCTTTGGCGAAGCAGAATACACTTACATAAGTAAAGGTGACTGAGCTTCGGACAGATTATAGTGTGCCACCCTATGTGGGCCTGAGGTTACTCAGTGCTGCGGATGTAGTGAGATATCCTCTGGAGGGTTCGGTTATGATTTTCACGGATATGTACCAGTATGGCCTCAGACTACCGTTTCATCCTTGGGTACAGATGATGTTGGCCAAGTTGGGGTATGCGCCGGGGCAATACAATCCCAACTTTTGGCTGCTTCTGCATGGAGTTTATATTGCTTGGTGGTTGGTTGGGTTGGGGGAGCCAACATTTGAGCAGTTTATGTACCTGTATTCGATCTCCAAACAACAGGGAACCTTTGGCTGGGTACAAGCCAATTGCCGAAAGGCAAAGGAGAGATGTTATTTTATTGGGCATAAGCCGAGTACGCAGAAGTCTTGGCCGAACAGATGGTGCTTAGCCTATGGTGATTGGGAGTGTCCTCCAGGGAAGACCGTCTCTAGACACATTCCAACCCACTTCCAGTTTATAGGTCCTTAGCCCCATCTTTTAAGACTAGTTGTTTTGTAGTGTTTTTACTTGTGCTCTGACTCTTGGGTCTTCATTTTTTGCTTGTGCAAGTATAAATAGCTGAGTTGTATCTAAACTTTGGTGCAAGTTCGATGAAGTGGGGACCGATCTCCAAGGAGCGAGAAGACGAGGTTGAGAGAGTGAGGTCATTGTTGTCGGAGACCCAACGTGAGCGCAAAAACCTAGTCACCCAGAAGAACCTGTACGAGTCAGGACTCTTGCAAGGGAGTAAGTACCTGGGTCACTGTTGTTATTTGTCTTATGATTCTTTTTGTAGTTGAGACTAACTTAGTTTTTGATGTCCAGTGGCAGGTATCATAAGGGGAAGCACGAAGGTGGCTATGGATCTGGATGATCCCGAGATGCAGAAACGGCTGAGGGAGTCTCGGGCCAAGAGGGTGAAGAAGGGAGGTGCTCAGCAGGCGGCTGGGAAGTGTCCCAGAGATGATGAAGGCCTGGTTGGCGATGTGCTGGGAAAGAAAAGAGCGCTGGAGGAAGCTCACCGGAGCGTGATGGGGACAGGGCTGAGGCTTCCTCCCTTTGACCCGCAGGCGCCGCTGAAGCTCCCCTTTGGTATGGATGATGTTTACGCCGAGGGGGTGGAGAAGGTGGACTTCTCTAGGCTGCGTCGGTAGAAGGAAGAGGTGAACCTGGCCATGCATCGGCATGAGGTTTCTTTGGTGAACGTCTTCCTGGAAGGCGTGAAGAGTGACCTCGAGGTTCTGGAGAGGACTCCGGCCACCTCCTATGCAGATCGGGCTCAGAAGACGCTCCTTACCCAGGCCTATGTAAGTTGTCCTACTTTAAGAATTTGTTCATATCATTCGAATTTGACTGATCATGCTTTGTGTTGCAGGCTTATGGCGAGATGAACGTGAATATGGCCAAGGCAGATAATGAGATCCAGAGGCTAAAAAGACGTAATGAGATGGCCAAGGATAAGATAGCGGAGGCGCAGGAGGCCATCCGAGAGAAGAACACCCTGGTGCTGCAGAAAGCGGCGATAGCCAAAGAGATGGAAGAGCTGAAGCGGTCGAGGGCCGAGGAGGTAGCTGCTACCCGAGCTAATGCGATCGAGTCATTTCGGGGTTCGGAGGAGCTGATGAGCTATATCATGGATTAGATGGTGGCGATGCAGCTGTGTTAGGAGGTGAGGGTGGCGAAGTTCAACCCTTCGGTGGAGATTAACTTTGATACGAGTGGCGAGCCCCCTTCACCTAGTCCTAACACTGATGCTGCTCGAGAGCCAGAGCCAGAGCCAGCCACTACGGATGCCCCTTCCATCGAGTCTTAAAGGCGTTGCCTTCTTTATGTACTGCAGTTGTTTATGTAAAACACTTGATGTTTAGTTTGCTTATGTATGAACATTTTGCCTTGCCTGAGGCAAGGTTATTTTGACTTGCTATGATATTAGACTTGTTGTCATTTGATATCAATTGCGCTTAGCAAAATGGGAACCATGTGATTGATGAGAATGAGCCAGGGTCGGGCGTTCATTAAATATGTGCCGGAAGGCAAAAAGTACAAGAGTTGGTTGAGTTAAGGCTCGAGACCAAAGTCTAAGAAAACATAATGTCCTAGGGCTAGGTATGTTTACTTATAGTAGTACTTAAGGTGATCAGCATTCCAAGGATGAGGCAAGGTCTTGCCCTTAGTATCACGAAGCTGATAGGTGCCGGGGCGGCAGACTTTGGTAACCTTATAAGGACATTCCCATGTAGGGCCTAAGGTACCTTCAGTGGGATTCTTGGTGGCCAAGGAAACCTTGCGCATGACCCAGTCCCCAAGTTTGAAAGCACGGGGCTTGACTCGGGAATCGTAGTACTTAGCGATACGCTGTTTGTACGCGACATTGCGCATGTTGGATTGGTCACGAAGCTTATCAATGAAGTCGAGGTTCAGGGCTAGCTGCTCGTCATTAGCTTCGGCCTTATAAATGGAGGTTCGGTATGTGGGCTGGCCAATCTCCACTGGTGCCACTGCTTCGGTACCAAAGAAGAGAGAGAAAGGTGTTTCTCCTGTTGAGGTACGGAAGGTGGTGCGGTAGAACCAGAGAACCTTTGGGAGTAGCTCTGGCCAGCAACCCTTAGCTTTGTCAAGCTTGGTTTTTAGAGTTTTCTTGATGATCTTGTTCATGGCTTCCACCTGGCCATTAGACTGAGGATGGGGTGGGGAGGCGAAGCAAAGATGTATCTTGAGGTTGGAACAAAATTGTTTGAACCTGGCATTGTGAAATTACCGGCCATTGTCCGTGACGATGGTGTTGGGGATGCCGAAGCGACATACGATGTTTTGCCAAACAAAAGTTTCGATGCGGGCTGCAGTGATGGTGGCTAAGGCCTCAGCTTCAGCCCACTTGGTGAAGTAGTCCACAGCTACAACTGCATACTTGACTTGGCCCTTGCCCTCAGGCATAAGTCCAATGAGGTCAAGTCCCCATTAGGCGAATGGCCAAGGACTGACCATGGCTGTCAATGGCTCAGCTGGAAGTTGTGGGATGTTGGCAAATCGTTGACACTTATCGTACTTCTGGGTGAAGGTCTGGGCATCAGTGTGAAGTGATGGCCAAAAGTATCCCTGCCGAATGATCTTGTGTGCTAGGGAGCGAGCGCCTGAGTGGTTGCCACAGATACCCTCATGAATCTCCCTTAGGACGTAGGTTCCTTCTTCTGGGGTTAGGCACCGAAGGTAGGAGAGGCTGAAGCCGCACTTGTATAGGGCACCATTGATGATCAAGTATCGAGCGGAACGATAGCGAACACGCCGCGCTTCAGCAGGATCAACAGGTAGTGTCTGGTTCTGCAAGAATTGAGTGATAGGGTCCATCCATGTAGGGCTGTGATCGATGACACAGATGAGTGGTGCCCGTGTGCTGGGCTGGTCCAATAACTCTATGTGGATGTTGCGACCTATGCCCTGCTCCATTGCCGAGGCTATCCTTGCTAATGCATCAGCATGACTATTCTCAGAGCGTGGCACCTGGCCTATGAGATAAGCATTGAAAGTTGTAAGCAGATGGCGGGTATGTTGGAGGTAGGCTGTCATGGAAACGTCCTTGGCCGTGAAGTCCTGGTTGACTTGGTGGACAACAAGCTGCAAGTCGCTGAATATTTGGATTTGCTTGACGCTCATCTCCTTGGCTAGCCGAAGGCCGGCTAAGAGTGCTTCGTATTCGGCCTCATTGTTGGAGGGGTGGAATTTGAAGCGGAGGGCGTACTTAAGGACAACCTTGTCTGAGGAGATGAGAACGAGGTCAGCTCCACATCCCTAGGCATTGGAAGAGCCATCCACATATAAGGTCCATAAGGGCTGAGTTAAGTCTAGGAAGCCGTTGCTGGCGACGTGGACCTGGTTCGAGATAGGAGTAGGCTTGATTGCAATTTGAAGACTGGCCAGAGTATGGGGTTCGGTGAATTCAGATATGAAATCAGCCACGGCTTGGCCTTTTGTGGCTTGGCGGGGTTTGTAGTGGATATCAAACTCACCAAGTTCAATGGCCCACTTAACTAACCTCCCAAAAGTCTCTGGCTTCTGCAACACTTGCCGGAGCAGTTGGTTGGTTAAGACATGGATGATGTGAGCTTGGAAGTATGGTCTGAGGTGCCTAGCCAAAACCACCAGGGCGAAAGCAAGTTTCTCAATGTCTGGGTATCGAACCTCTGCATCTTGCAATCTTTTGCTCACATAGTGCACCGGATGCTCAGCACCTTCGTATGGTCGAATGAGCACTGAGCTAACCGCTGTGGCCAAGACAGAGAGGTAGATGGTGAGGACGTCCCTAGACTCAGGGGTTGACAATAAAGGGGCTCGGCTCATGTATGCCTTGAGCTCGCCGAATGTTTGGTCACATTCGGCAGTCCAGGTAATGCTGCGTTTGCTACCCTGAAGTGCCTTGAAGAATGGGGCGCAACGATCAGTGGCCTTAGAGATAAATCTGATCAGGGCTGCGACATGCCCGATAAGGCTCTGAATGTCCTTGACCGTCTTGGGTATCGTCATGTCCAAGATAGCCTCGATCTTCTATGAGTTGGCCTCAATACCTCTTTGGCTGATCATGAAGCCAAGGAATTTGCCGGAGGCCACCCCAAATGCACACTTGGTGGGGTTGAGCTGCATCCTATACTGCTTCAAAATGGTGAACATGGCAGGGAGGTTGGGGATGTGCTGGTCAGCAGTGCGACTCTTGACCAGCATGTCATTAACATAAACTTCCATGGTGTTGCCAATTAGTGGAGCGAAGATGCTGTTCACCAGATGCTGATACGTAGCCCCGACGTTCTTGAGGCCGAAAGGCATGACTTTGTAGCAGTAAAGGCCACAGTCAGTGATGAAGGATATATGAACTTGGTCCTCAGGGTGCATGAAGATCTGGTTGTACCCTGAGTAAGCATCCATGAAGCTGAGAAGGGTGTGTCCAGCTGTGGCGTCAACTAGTTGGTCAATGCGGGGTAGGGGGAAACTATCCTTTGGGTAGGCCCGGTTGAGATTTGTGTAGTCCACGCACATACGCCAGCCCTTCCTTGGTTTACGTACCATTACCACATTGGCTAGCCAGGTGGGATAATCCACCTCCTTGATGAATCCAATGGTGTTCAGCTTATCCACCTTTGCCTTCATGGTCTCATACCGCTCCAGGTCATAAGCACGATGCTTCTGCCGAACGGGTCGGACGGCAGGATTAATGCTGAGCCTATGGGACATGACGTCAGGTGATATGCCCGGCATATCGTTGTAAGACCAAGCAAAGACCTCAGAGTTGAGGCGGAGGAAGGTAACAAGATCAGAACGAAGCTCTTGTGAGAGGGAGGTGCTGATTCTGACCTGTCGATCCGGGATGTCCTCATAGAGAGTGACCAGTTCGAGGTCCTCCACAGGTTTGGCCTGTTAGGTGGTAGATTCCTCCCTAGGGTCTTCTGGGCACTCAGTGCCAGCTCGAGGTGGGGCTGAGGCCTGGGTTACCACTAGGGCCTCACCCTTATGTTGGCGATTGGTAGACTTTACTGCCAAAGCATAGCAGCTTCGGGCACTAAGTTGATCGCCGCGCACCGCGCCCGTGCCATGGGGCGTAGGAAATTTCAACAATAACATATGTGTGGAAATGAAAACCTTCATCTGGGCCATGGCAGGGCGCCCCAAGATGACGTTGTACGCTGTGGGGCAATCAATAATGAGGAAGGGAGTAGTGACCATCGTTCCTTGAGGTGCTGCTCCAATAGAGATAGGGAGATGAATGCTCCCAATAGGCTAGACCACATCGCCCGAAAAGCTTACCAGGGGGTGTGACGCTTCGATCGAGCAAATGAGACGGGACTTAGAGCTCGTTGAAGGCATTAGCAAACATGACACTAACCTAGCTGCTAGTGTCTACCGAGATGCGCCCAATGTCAAAATTAGAGATGTCGGCGCGGATAATGATTGGGTCATCAAGAGGGAGGATAACGCCACGCTCCTCCTCCTCGCAAAAGGTAATGGAGGCCCAGCCTGTTTTTTGCGTCTTTGGCAAGCGTCCCTGCTCAGTGCTGAAGACCTGGTGCGCATAGGTGGAGCGGACATAATGTTTGATGGAGTTGTTGGAGATTCCAGCCATGGTAGGGCCACCACTGATGGTTGAGATCATGTTTATCTACCGTTGGTGAGGGTTAGATGGGGGTGGGAAGTTGTGCACGTATTTATCCAGCTTCCCCTCACAAATAAGCCCCTCAATGATGTTGCACAAGGCAACACAAGATTCGGTATCGTGGCCACCGAACTGATGAAAGCGACAGAAGACACCTGTGTTAGGCATAGGCTTGCTGCTTGGTTTCCGGGGTGGAGGCTGAGGTATGATAGGTGCCTCGTGCACCAGGACATTCTCATAGGTAGTGTTGAGGGTGGTGAAGACCTCGAACCTGGGTTTGGGTGAGAATGGGAGTGGGGCCCGGTCATTTGTCCTGGGGGGGTTGCTTCCACTAGACTGGTGGTGGTTGCTATGTTTGCCCCGCTTATTATTGCTGAAGGTATGCTGGTAGCTATCCTTCCTCTTGGGGTGCTGGGCACCCTGGGTGCTTGGTGTAGGGGCAGAATGTTGAGGTGGAGCTGGGATGGGTACTGAAGCAGGTGGAGGATCAGCAAAAGGATTACGCGCCGGGGTGGCTGGGCTGCGCTTGAAGTTGAAGTACTCGGCCTTGGCGTGAACTGCTGCCTGCTTCATCAGCTCGGCATATGTGTTCCAAGGGTTGCTGTGCACCAGGTACCGGAAGTTGGACTCTCGGAGGCCACTCTTGAAAGCACCAAAAGGCGGCACGATCATCAGTATCTGGGCAGCGGGAGTATTCGTGGTTGAACCTGGCTGCATACTCCAGAAGGGGCTCGTCATCACCCTATCTAAGCATGTATAGGTCGTCGGCGGAGTAGAGGCGAGCAGTCTGGATCATGAACTGGTCCAGGAAGGCCTGCTTTAGACTGTCAAATGTGTTGATGGTGCGGGGGTTCAGCTTGTAAAACCAATTCAGGGCCGCGCTACTAAGAGTGGAGGGGAAGAGGAGGCACATGCCTTCGTCAGTTAAGCCTTTACACCCGAGGGCAGACTGGAAAGAATGTATGTGGGTGAGAGGATCCTCCGTGCCAGTGTAGAAGGCGATGCGGAGTGGCTGGATGTCCTTCTACTGATGGTAATTAAGGATGCGTTCGGTAAAGGGCCCAGGTCATGGCTTTGCCCAGAAAGGTTGGTGGTTGCGCTGTTGCTCGCTCTCCAGGCACCGGACTTTCTCAAAGAGAAGCCTCATTGCCGGGTCGGTATGAGGGAGAGTCTCGGGTGCTAGAGGTTTGGTGTGTGGGTGGCCATGGACTGGGTAAAATTCTTCGAACACCTCGGTGTGATAAGACTCGTAGTCTTCTAAGTAATCCTGTCCCCAGTTCTCCGAGTCCCCTATACCTTCTTGAGGGGGTAGTTGGGTAGGATTTGGTGGGGGGCCTAGGTGTGTCACCTTTGGGTCTTAGAGATTAACGAGGATAAGAGGGGGTTCCGTCTGATGGTCTAGATACGGTCCCTGCAATCCCTGTAGACCTTTGTTGGTTCATGGGGCTGGGGCCGGTTCCTCGGCGGGGAGATGCAAAGGAGCCGCGACTTGGTCTCCTCCGGATGGAGAGGGCCTTTACCCTTGCTGGGCCTAGGCTGGATTGGGACACTGTGGTGGGAGTGCTCCGGCTGGTTTGGCTAGGTACGCTCAGGTTCCCGGGTAAGACTTTGTTGGGAGCATTGGGTCTGATTCATCTCCCAGTTATGCTTCAGTGTGCGGTAGTCATGCTCGAGCTCGACGTTCTTAGCATGAAGATGGTCATATTTCTCGGACATCTTGGTGACACTGGCGCAGAGGCTCTCCAGTTCTGCCTGGAGATTGGCATCTGCTGAAGGTCTCCTCTAGGAGGTACCCCCATGGGGGGTATGGTGCTGAGTCCCGTGGCTATCCTCAGTAGGCATAACTGAGTGTGTAGTGAAGAAGAGGCGACGGGGCCGGATAGAAGAAGGAGCCAGTTGGGCTGGTAGAGAAAAATGGGATTCAAGTATCGATTCTCACAGACGGCGCCAAACTGTTGATGCTCTTTTTCGGAGAGGGTCAACTTAGAGAAAAAGGGATTTGCCTTCAGCAAGGAAAGGGTCTGGACCTTCAATAAATACTAGCCTACAGAAGACAAAAATAGGGGAAGCAGTCGTTAAGCTTCGGACACCGGTCTGGTGCCGGCCGAAGGCTCTCCAATGCTTAAGTCAGCTAAGAAGGGTAACCTTTGCAGAGTAACAGTAAAAAGCAGAAAAGTAGTTACCCTTTTACTAGGGTATTGTGCTCTTTTTATAGGGAAGTGAAAGTGGGAGGTTGGTGTAGATTTCCGATGTGGGACTTTGTGCAAGTCGTTGCGGTGGTGACACGTGTCGTGGAAATTAGGTTTAGCAGTTTGTGAGCTTCAGCAGTCGGGAGCTTCGGCAGGTGTCTGGCACCTTGGAAGAATGTCTTCCTTCGGTAGGGGAGGAGGCGTGTCTGCCTTGGTACTAGTTGTTTTGAGGCTGGATATGCTCAGTTGATTATGGTGTAAGCATATACTATTATAATTTTATTATTATTTAAATTGTCGTGCCCTAGCTGTGTCTGTGTCCGTGTATTTTGAGATTTTCCATGTCGTTATGTCATTGTGCCGTGTTTTCGTGTCCCCTTATCCGTGTCCCTGCAACATAGCCACCAACTCTCATTCTCATTAGCTTGTATAATTATCTAATATTATTTGTAGGAGCATTCTCCAATAAGTATTTAAGTTAAAGATTAGTTACATACTTCTAATCTCAACCGTTGGATTGCATCTAAGAGACTACCAACACATTCAATGAATGCAATCCAACACCCAAGACTAGAAGTGTGTAACCAATCCTTAACATAAAATATTTATTAGAGAATCTCTCATTATTTGTATATCAGGAAAGACGGTTTGCCAACGCGTCTAGCATAGTGAAAAATAGTATGTACTTGCAGACTAGTGATCTTAAATTTGAACCCTCATAACACTTTGATATGTATAAAAAAATCTACCTCCACCTTCCTAACTTTGGCCCAAAAAAGAAAAAGAGAAAGTGGGAAAGCTTTTGGTCTTAGAAAATGAAAAATCATAATGCTTACCAACCATTCTCTTTACTATGTCCCATGTACTTACCAGACAAATTTGACCGAAATATGATTTTGAACAATTTTTTTTTAGGACCTTTCTTATTGAGAGAAGGCATAACATACTAAACTCACACATACTACATGGATACTAGAACTCGAACCCATAACCCAGGACCTTTCCTGGGGAAGCAATAGCTCCAAACAACTATACTAGTTGGTGCTTTGCTGATTTTAAACACTAAGGTAAATACATCTACTTTATTAATTATTACAATTTAAGGACAATAGTTTTTGTTGTTGCCAAAGTTAGGAAGGGGAGAGAGGGTGGGGGAATACTAACACGCACGAGTACAACGAGGGCTTGAACCTAAAACCATTTGTGCAAATCCAACTAACAATCCCATTGGTTTTAATCACAATAGTTTAATTTCATGCATGGAATTTTGATTCCAAGTTTGCAACTTTTTGAACCACATTGACTAAAGGGGAAACCTGCAAGCTGCATGATAAATTCGACAGAATCCAAAATACTTCATATGACAGAGTCATGATAGTTTGGTTTGATTGACGTAGGTGGAACGGCATAAATTGCTTCATCATACTTGATGTGATGAAAAATATAAGGAACGAACACATTTATTATTAAATGATTTTGGAGTTGATGCCGTCTATAATTTATAAAATTAAATGACATACAGGATTACTTATTACACAACTAATTCTAATAGTTCCACACATGAAATGTGTTTTCTTCAATTAAAAATGAGGGATGAGGGAGGGATAAACTGAGACTTGTGCTAGTGCTGAACTGAAGACCACGAATTTGCATCAATCCAGTTAAAAGCTATAGGACTCAGAAAAGCATCAGGGATGCCAAAGGAACTGACCAAGGCAAGTGCATGTGGTCGCAGTTCACCACACAGTCTGCTTACTTCTTTCCTCACAGCAGCAACATTATCAGTTGATAAGTACCCAAATCGGAGGAACGCCGGGTCTTCTTCCAGGCAAATCAATGCATACATGGACCTCAACATAGCTAAGACATTCTGCAGCCGAAACAAATATGTAATCAATAACTGGATTTATTTCACCTTCTCAAAATAATTTTATAGCTTCTGGAAATTGATTAGTAACAGACATTTCATACAGGAAAGTATTCCAAACATTACAATGGGGAAAGTAACTTCAATATAGACAGTCTACTAAGAAACTCTAATTTAATTCGCCTGTTAACTCAATCGTCAGGCTGCAAAAGAAGTAAGGCAGATTGTTGATTTCAGATGGAACATGAGGCATGATTTTTTATTTTTTATTTTTTATTTTTGACTCAGGCACAACAAAACCTGAGCATATGTTCTATTTCCCATCTATGAATCTAAACCCCTTTCCAACCCATCTCCCACTCAAAGCCAATTTATGACAGCATATCCTACTCCTTTAGTCATAGGAGATTCAGATCTTCAGACTAAATCATCAAGAAGTGTCATGTCAGACACAATGTCAAAAACAGTTGCTAGGAATTACCTTCAATGAACCAGAAGGTACACCTGCCTCAGCATCTAGGAGGGTTTGCAATATTGTTCGATCTGAGAAAGCTCTGCCCAGATCTTGGGCAAGTTGATAACTCTGGTACAGGAAAAAGTGAAGAAAATTGTGAGTCAAGAGAGAGAGAAAGAGTAGAGTAGTTTTAGTGAAGGGAAGACACCGCTCACCAGAATGACAGAGTATTCTTTGCTTTCTCCCTGTTTTTGACGTTCTGACACTTCCATAGCAAAGCGAGTCAGTAGATCTCGCTCTCTTAAGCAGAAAGCATCCATCTGATGTAGACAAGAAGTTACAATATTTAAAGTTTTATCGATCAACTAATGTAAAAAGCAATGCATCCAATAGGATTTGAAGATGCACCAAGTGTTTGAAAAAAATTAGATCACCTGGAATTGGCTACTCTGGAGGGTAGAACTTGTAAGTTGAGATGGAATGACAGGACAAGGTTTATTCATGTGTTCTAACCCCAAAGCTTTAAATGGTTTACTTCTCTTTTGAGCTGCTATATACTCCGCAAGAAGTGCTTTGCTGACCTGAGTTAAAACCCAAAAATTTCCACTGCTTTAGATAGAATTCTGATGAATAGTAAAAGTCACAAACAATACTTTTTATTTTCAGAGACTAAATGAATGCTTATCTACTATAATATTGCCACCAATTATCCCTACGTCCATTAAATCTTTGATAAATATATCATGCTTATATAATGGACTATTGCCATCATTTATCCATAGGTCCATTAAACCTTAGATAAGTATATCCGTACTCTCTACTCAAATAAAATATTACCCGAGGAGATTCAAATTACAAAAACATTTTACTATTGATGATACATGGGTTGATCCACTCTATAATTGCACGTTAACTGGGCAACATAGAAAAATGATGGGTATAGTGACAATTTCTAAGTTTATAACAAAACAGTTACACAAACTAGCCAAAATTCAGCATGGTGCTCGCTGAACCTAGGCAAGAAATGTTTCCGCATTTGTGTTATATATGTATACACACACACACACACACACATATGTTACCTTACTGGCACGTTGTTTTATGCAAAAATAGATAATCAATTTAAAAGTAATAAATTGGACTGGACATAATATATGTCCATCCAAGAAGGCCATCCCTATTCTACAGTTAAGTACATGTCAAAAGTCTATTATAAAACAAGTTTCGCACACACCACAGCTCACATTAGATGTTTTATTTTATTTTTGAGAAAAAATTTCTTCAGTTGCTAGCAATTCATATCTCAACAGAAAGACATTGCATTTTGAAAAGAAGACTATAATACTTGATGCTACCTGCTGCATCAGAACATTGTTGTCCCCCTCAAAAGTGGACTGCACATCATATTCACCTTTGAGAGGACCAATACGGTTTTCAGTCTTCAGACCTTGCCCTCCGCAGGCTTCGCGGCATTCCTGATATTTATGTCAACAACATTCAGCAAGGCCAAATATAACAATAACTTTAACTTGCATTTTAGATTCCAGTTCCTGACCTGAAGAGTTCGCATGTTATGCCAGGTCAGTGTAGCCTTGAATGCACTAGAAACAACATGGATGGTTTTGCTCAACTCAGGCGTACGCTTAACATAGATCATTTTTAAGTGATTTGCAGCAAAACTCATAGCATATCTGAAGCACATGAGGAATTAAAATATTAGTAAGAACACAGGATTAAAAAAAGTGGCTTATATGCTTAATGGAACAACATTTCACAGTGCCAATAATTTGACCACCAATAGTTGAACATTTGTACCAAATTTTACTGAAGGGATCAGGAAGCACAGGATCTAGGAGAAAAATATCTATTATTTACTAATTTTATTTAAAACATGTGACACCAAAAATAAAGCAACTTCAGGAATTTGTCTGAACCATCAGTTTTGTTACAAAAGTAGCAAATACACTAGTAAGTTGACTGTATCCACCATCTAAGAGCATGAAATCTATTATAGAAACTGTGATGGGAAAAGAATTTAATTGGAAATGAAAATCCAATGATTTTACACTCTCATGCAAAAGCAGTTATTCCAACAAGTTCCTATTAAACTGAGACACGAAAAATGCCACAGAATTCTTACGTCTTTGCAAGAAGAGGCAAAAGCCGCTGTTGATGACTAGGGTAGTCGAGCAATAGGACTTCAGGCCCTTTTGGCGTAACAGAAAAGGCCCGCCTTGTCAGTGAGTACCTTATGGCTATTGCTAAACTTATCTGATCAGAGGGAAATAAATAATTCTATCAATTATGAAAATTCTGGTAAGAGATATCTGCAATCCCTAACCCTAAAAATACGTAGATGCAAGAATGATTAATTGTCACCATGCTTATGACCAATTACCTGTGATGAGTAAATTGCACCAACTGCTATTGTTACACGACCAGATGTTAATGGAGCCAAGAATGCTGCAAATCTCTGAATGACAAGAAAAAAACAGAGGATGATAAAAGGAGAGAACTTCTTTGGCTAAACAAAAGGAAGACATATATATATCCATCTTGAATAGAACTACCTGATCTGGGTCTTTTATTGCACTCAGATATTGCCCATCTGGAGAAACATCAGCCACTGAATTTAACAAATTTTCCCTGGGGATTCGAACGTTGTCAAACCTGAAAACACATTTCTAAATCCTCTAAGTCACACGTTGTTGAAACTTACAGAAATCTGTAATTGACATTAATAGTGAAATGAAATGAAAACTAGAAACATGAACGTTACCATATTCGACCATTATCAACACCATTTAACCCAATTTTATGACCACAGTCAGCAATACGAATGTTTGGACAGATGTTACCGTTTGCATCCCGGATCTGGGCTATAAAAGCATGGACACCTTGGTTTTTCCCAGATATGTTGAGTTGTGAAAAGACTATTGTGTGTGTGGCATGCTAACCATCAACAACAAAAGCACCATATCAGTGTACAGACAGCACAGGAGGAGGAACTTTATAAGGAATTCAGCAGTGATGTGGAGTATAATTAAGGGCGAGAAATTTAAAAAAAATGCACATTTTTTAATGTGATCCTTGCATTATAAAAAAGACAGAAGAAAAAAAAAAGGGGGGGGGGGGGGGGGGGGGGGGGGGGGGCTTACATTAGCTGCTCCTCCAATCCAATACTTCTGAGCTGATTCACAAGGAGTATTAATGACAAATTCTCCAGTATTTGAATCATAAGTGGTGACTGTTTCAATTCCTCGAACCTGAAAACATCAGTGAAAACTTAGCAAAAGAGTATGCAAACATCCATCTACAGGCCTGAGAATGCAGACCAAATGACTGAACAACCTCAACATACATTACTCCCATGCCCCAACTCTGACATTGCAAAGCAACCCTTGATTGTATAATTCTCGGTATCCCTCAGCCACTTGTCGTGATGGCGCTTTGTGCCAAAAAACAGAATGGCATTACCCCTGAAATTCATCAATGAATATAAAACTTAATAATAAATGAACTCCTTCCTTGACATTCCAACCAAATCAACAAATTAGTCACTTTTGTAGAGGTTAGTTCCCATTATACCAAATAATGCCATTCAACTTCAATTGCTTGATGTTTGATTTCAGTTTTCTTGGTGCTCCTCACACCACACCACCCCCCCCCCCCCCCCCCCACATCCGTTCGGCTCAATTTGATTCGTATCTCACATTTAAGCTTCAATTCATTGACATTGAGATCAATAAGAACTACGAATTTATTTCCAATTTCAATAAAATGTAACGCAACCAATAGTCTTTACCTCAGTTAAGATGGACTACGCCACCATACTCAGAAAACGAAAAAATACACGTACAAGTAAACGAGTCATGTTGAGCAATAAAAAAAAGGATAAAACAAGCAAAAACAAATGTGATATAAACCAAATTCCCATACCACAAAAAGAAATGGACACCGAGCTTCACAGAAAGGGAGTGATCATAAATCCCAATAACCTCATGCAACGCAAGCTTTCTCAACTCAGCTTCGACCCCTTTCTCTGTAAGCCAACCTTCGAAAACCCCACGATCCAACAAGTAGGCAATTCGCTTCATGGTCATTTCTCTCTGCTGCTCCATGCTTTGGTTGTAGTCAGGCGAGACAAACACTCGGCCACCGGCCTCTCTGGGATTAAACAGCTTGCTCTGCTTCATCAGCCCGAAGAGCCAGTCCCGGTCCTCAAGATTGTGGGCGTCCAGGAGCTTGCGCATCTCCTTGGTATCGAATTCGAAGGGCTCGGAGAGCTCAGGAGGAGAAAAGCCGACGCATGGGTTGGGGGAGAGAGGCGAGGACATAGAAGGTTGGTTGAGATGATTCGAGAGGACTTGGGTTCGCCATGTGAAGCGATCCATGGGTGGAGGAATTTCAGGGTTAGGGTTAAGGATAGGAATTTTTGCAGAGAGAGAAAGAAGTCAATTTGTGTGCGTGTGAAATTAAGGTAGACGATGATGGAGAGAGAGAGAAGGGGTAGTTGGAAATTACGCGCGTAAGTTCGGTATGGATAGGCGAAGAGCACGCTTCAGATCTACCTCATGAAAACGCCGTCGTTTACCCATGATAGAAAAGGAAAAGCGATAAAATTCCAACTACCCCTGACGCGTGCAAGACATTGATAGTAGAATGTGTTCTCCCATATCAAAATGAGAGCAGATCACCCGTCCCCAAATTGGTGTCCCCCTTTTACAGCATTTTCACCCATTTGCCATAACAAAGGGCAATGGGAGGCAAAAGCTGTTACTATTTACATGAATAGTGGCAGCCTTTGCAAAAGGCAAGTTGTGTTTCCACCCATTGTCATGGCAAAGGGCAATTACTATTCACTTTAATTTTTTTTTAATTTTTTATACTTAAACGATTAATTTGGATAAGATTTTCGGTTGCTACGTATCAATATTTATTATAAAATTCACATCCATATTTCATATAAAATTTTCAAATAAGATTTTCAGTTGTCATGTGTCCATATTTATTATAAAATTGACATCTCAAATTTCAGATAAGATTTTTGGATAAAATTTTCAGTTGCCACGTGTCGATATTTATTATAAAATTGACATCTCAAATATCGTAATTCGTAATGATGAAGTATTTTTCTTTTGCTTTCTATTTTTTAATAATGATGTTTTTTGCAAACATGTTTGATTAATGAATTTTTCTTTTTTATATTATTAATTGTGTAGCAGGTGTTCAAAGATTTGCGTAAGACACTAGATGCTAGAAATATGAGGCATAAATCACATAGTGCTACACTTCAGCACGGAACTGAGACTAACACTACATATTTAAGGTCATTATCTATGATCACTAGTGTTGCCTCTGGAAAGGTAGCGGACGGATGTGTGCTGATATGATTGAGTCAATTGTGCATTTTTATTTTCCATATGTTCTCTGTGTCATGATTTACTCAAAAAAATTGTCGCTGAATTGGACCCTCCCAACATGTTCCAACTCATCCACACACAAGACACTAGTTTTTATGGAGTCGTGATCGACTGTGGTCATGATGATTCCCCCATAACACCTACAAAATCTGAGTTTGATATGGAGGAAAGGCTAAAGGAGTGTTTATTACTTTTACAGTGCATTTGGATGAGGAAATTTAATACAAAGGATTTCATATGACGAAATTTAAAATGACGGAAATTAATGTTCTAGAATTTGTAAAGTTTCTTGTTTGGGTGACGAATTTAAAACACGGAACTTAACCTTTATTTGTAAAGTTATCTTTTTTTTAAACTCAATCTCTCTTGGGATTTTAGAAAGAGTATTGCTATTTCCACCCCTTTATCCTATTTCCTCACCCACCTTATCTTCACACCCACCATGTAAATTTGAAAAAACCCAAATTTATCTTTCCACCCATCATTATTCCTAAAATACCCTTTAATTGTTTTTCATATTTGCCATTACAATAAAAAAGAATTTCTATAAAAAATTTCTTCAATTAGCTCATCCTCACCCCAAGTTACCCTCACCGCCGCCCCCTCAACCTCCACCTCTGGTGAAAACCCAACAGTTAACACCATGAACATCACACCCATATCCACCTCTCCTTCTCCCATCCGCAGCCATCCCCACCACCAATTTGATTTTCCCACCGCAACCCTTACGCCTCCTTCACTAGACAAAACCCAAAATGAATAGATATATATATATATATCATTCCAACGCCACTGGGGCCAAAATACAGAGCATTCAAAAGAGGAATTTTCATACGGAGGCACTATGCACCAACTAAGAGAAATTCCCAACAAAGCATTACAATTAAGGAGGTCCAAGTAGACCATCTGAAACCAACACCTGAACTAGTGACAGAGATGGTTGTACAACCCCCTAAATTGATTGGAGATGGGTGTGGGTTTTGGAAAAAAAAATATAAAAGAAAAGAAAATATGGGTGTGGGTGCATGAGAGAGAGAGAGAGAGAGAGAGAGAGAGAGAGAGAGAAAGGGCTGTAAAGTTGTCCTTAGAAGTCATTTTACAATTAGGTCAATTTTTCATTAAAATTTTGAAGATAAGGTGGGTGGGAAAATAGGACAGGTGGGTGGAAATAGCAACATTCTTTAGAAAGGACGACTTTTAGATAGAATTTAAAGTTGGGATTTATGATCTCCAAATTCCATGTTTTATCCCAAGCGGAATTTCGAAATTTCTATGTTTTTTTTATCCAAACACAGGAATTGGTCCATGTCAACTTAGAAATTCTGACTTTTGTCAAAATCTCAAGTTTATTTCCCTAATCCAAACGCATTGTTAGAGAACGAGCTCAAATAATAGGTTGGTGAAGGAGCGATTTATTGACTTGGAAAACCTAAGTAGTGAAAATAAGCTAATGAAGGATGAAATTTTAAAATTAAAGGTGAAACTCGAGGAAGCACAGGTGCAGGCTTGTGATGTACAATGAACTGTGTTGTAATGCAAAAGTCATTGTGGCAGATGCACATAAGCAATATGATGAGTTGTCAAACGACGTCCAACAACTTCTTGAATTTATTCAAAAAGAGAAGAGGGTAAAGAGTAATGAATCCACACATGATTTGAAAACATGGGTTATAAGGCATAAACAGAAACATAGGAAACTGAAACACTTGCCTAGGTATGTGTACGATGAGATCAAGATATTAAGGGAACCAAGGAAGGCAAAGGTAGATGGGCATGGACATGTTATTGTGAGTACTAAAAAGAATAAGCCTTACAAAGAAGCACCTAAATTATCTATATCATTCATGTGTGGTGATGAAAGCAAAGGGAAGCAACAATTAGGTACAACAGTTGTTGGTCGTAACAATGTTGGAGGGAAAGGACAGATATTTGCAACTATTGACCCTTCTTGCATGTCTGTGTGGATTTATCTATCAAAGGAAGAACAAGATAGACTACATCATTTTCTTATTTGCATTGATTCCGGGTGAGTCGAAGCATTGTGTTTAAATTATGCATAATATATCATGATTTTAAGTCACATATGAGTATATTAAAGCAAATATGTAATTGTAAAGCAGGGTTTCATTGTGGCAAGGATCATACTCGGCTGTGTATAAGGATGATTCGCGGGACCTACTAACAAAAGCTGCAATAAGGTGTAATGTAAGTAGTCAATTATGGGTTTTAAATCTTAAAAGAGAAGGTCATAATGGTTACTCATTGCAAGTTATTGATTCATTTACAGAAATTTTACAAACTGAGATAAGCAATAATCCAGAAGTGGAGACTAAATCCACACACGATGACGTCGTTTTGCTGGTTTGTATAAATAATTAATCCCAAAATGAATTTCATAAAATTTACATTTCCCCAAAAAAAAAAAAAAAAAAAAAAAAAAAAAAAAAAAAAAAAAAAAGGAATGATTTTATATGCTTGTCATTTGGTAATTTTGTTTCACCTGGTTTTGGTTTTGTTACAACATCAGATTTGGGAACCCCGATTGATGTTTCTTTCATGGTTAAGTTTTACACCTACTGGTGCACATGATTCTGTGTTGGCTAATAACATAACAGATTTTATCCGAATATCAATCCAGCACTCATGGAAAAAATTTGTCATACATAACTATATATCAATATACTTAGATACATTCCCCATGAGTAAATTAAAACCCAAAAAAAAAATAGAAAAGGACAAAGCGAGCTATAAAACAAATTTGAGCAAATGACCAATTATATTTATACAACTAAAAACACATCATTACGGTATGAGGAGAGCCGGTTCTAGGGTTTTAGGTCTATCACAGGTTTTTTCTTCTCTGTATCGGGTCTTAGGGGTTGAGGGCTGCCTCAGGGCTACAGCGGTGTCTGCGTGCTGGTGTCTACTCGTGCAGTGTTTCTAGGGTTAGGGTTTGTGTGGTGTGACTTGGGGAACATGCTCTGCATATTCCTGTACGAATTCCTGGGGCCGACATGGCTCTGGAGGATTTTGAGAGCTCTTTCGAGCGGCAATTGGATCTGACTGATCGGGAACGAGTTGGGGTGGTGATCGGCAGTGCGGCAGTGTCAGACTGCTTTGTTGGGTTTCCATATAGTCTGGTGGCTAAGATTGTATCGCAGCAAGAAGTTCACCGTGATAATTTTATTAAGACTTTTACCAGCCTGTGGAAAGGCTCTGACGAGGTTTCGATCAAGGAGATAGCCCACAATCGATTTTGGGTTCGATTTGTTTGTGATCGGTACCGCCAAAGGGTTCTTGACATGGAGCCTTGGACATTTCGACAGTCAATGATTTTATTGGCTGCGGTGGCTGAGGAGGACTGTATTCATACGATGATGCTCACCCATGGCACTTTCTGGCTCCAGATACATGGGGTCCCAGGTTTCTATATCACGGTGGCTGTTGCCAACGTTATTGGATCGACGGTGGGTGAGATACTACGGGTGGACAATAGGGATGGGCAAGACTGTGTTGGTCATTTTATTCGTGTCCGGGTTCGGTTAGATGTCCGTCTGCCCTTGATGAGAAGGACTCCAATCACTTTTCCGGAAGTGGGGGAGAAGATCATAGAGTTTCGCTATGAGTATCTCCCAGAATATTGTTTTGCTTATGGTTGCTTGGGGCATCCCACCCAAGACTGTGTGAAGAAACATGAGGCTTTAAGAGGCAAACTTAACCCCAAGGACCTTGCTATTTTCACCTCTGCTTTTGAGGGTCTAGAAGGAGTCATCAATTTGTGGAGGAAATCGATTGGGTCGTCGGCAAGGCGCCTCTTCTCTCAACAGCATGGCTCATCACATACGGAGAGAAAGAATGGTGGGGAATGGTCCGGTGGGCATTCCTGGCGTGCGTCTCATAATGACTCTAAGGAAGCCATGGACACGACCTCTCCTTTTAAACTGCGTCAACGACATGAGGCTTTTCCGTCCAGCCCCGGGGTTAGCTCCCATGACTGGATGTCGTTCAACAGATGACGCTGGGATAGGGGGTATCTCCCACTTTGTTGCTAGCGTGATAGATCTCGGTTTGGTGCAGGAAGTCAACTCGGTTGTCAAGAGTACCCCTTCAGCACTTGATCAGCGGGGCACAAGTACGGTGGTCCCTGTGGCGGGCATACCTTCTGTTTTGATGGATCCCTCTTGGATTGTACAAGCATCTGTTGGCCCCTTTGGGGGAGACACGAATGAGGTCATTGCACAAACTAGTGACCCATGTAACTTTATGCCCATAATTGAGAAAACAGCACATAAGGTTACGGGTCGCGGACGTGGGAGGCCAAGGCGGGTGGCAGAGCCCATCGAATCTGGTATACAAGGGGTCTCTGCGCCTTATCTCAAAAGAAAGCATCTGGCAAATCACCTGGGTGTGGACGGTAGCGAGCATGAAGTTAATGGTGCTCTCGGAAAACGACGACTATGTGATAATATGCCTACTATACAGGCGGAGGAGACCAGCCTTGAGGGGTCTCCCCGGTCTCAATGTTAGTCTTCAGTTGGAACGTTCGGGGGCTTGGCAACCAACGAACAATCCGTGACCTGAAGAGCTTTCTTCAGGATAAGAGGCCAGATGTGATTTTCTTATCTGAAACACGTATGACTGCAGTACAGATGGGAAAATTACATACAAGGTTAGGTGTTGGTGGGGTGGTTTGTGTTCCCCGTGTTGGTTGGGTGGTTTGTGTTCCCCGTGTTGGTTTTTCAGAAGGTCTATGTCTACTCTAGCGGGTAGGGCTCCAGGTTGATCTACTCTCTTCCTCTCCAGGACATATAGATGTTCGGGTTACTGTGAATACTTCTGAGACTTTTCGTGTGACTGGTTTTTATGGTCATCCTGACCAAACCCAGCGCCATCATTCATGGGAGCTACTATGGAATTTGGGTAGAGTGGGTCTTGGACCCTGGCTATGTTGTGGGGATTTCAATGAAGTAATGGAATGCAATGAAAAGAGTGGGAGCCGGTTGAGACGTGATGTGCAGATGGAGGACTTTAAACAGGCCATTACAGATTGTTGTTTGTTTCAGTTTGAGTTTATAGGTTATCCATTTACTTGGAGCAATAAACGGAAGGATACAGCTCATGTGGAGGCTCGATTGGATAGAGGTTTTGGAAACCTGGCACTTCTGCAACACTGGGGCAATTTCATGTCCCATCATTTAGTTGCTTTCTCCTCTGACCACCATCCGATTCTCATTGCATCTGACGGTCCACAGGGTGACAATGCTAGAGGTCCTAGAGGTCGTCGTCGGTTTCAGTTTGAGGAGGCATGGACTACGAAATTTGACTGTGATGAGGTTGTTCGTCAATCTTGGCAGAGTGCAGTGTCACCCCTCTCTAATATTGCCAACTGTGCCAGCAACTTGTCACGCTGGTGTGCCAGGAAGGGTGGCCAGGTCCCCAAGAAAGTTAAGGACTTACGGCTTAGACTAGCAAGTCTCCAATCATAAGAGCCGTCGACGCAGACTTTTCATACCCGTAGCCTAATTGAAACTAAACTTGATAAGTGTCTTGAACAGGAAGAAATTTATTGGCATCAGAGATCGCGGGTTCATTGGCTTCAGCATGGAGACCATAACACCTTTTTCTTTCATAAGCAAGCCACAAGTCGCAGGAAGAAAAATGCCCTAGTAGGGATACTAGACGAGAATGATCGTTGGCAGCGAGAATATGATCAAATAGGTGGAGTTTTTGTGGAGTTTTTTACAAATCTTTTCATGTCGGATATGAGAGCTGCTGATGTGGAGGTTTTTAATGCTGTCTAAGCGCGAGTGTCCTCACGTTCTTATCATAATCTGCTTCTCCCGTATTCTAGGGATGAGATCGAATTAGCTCTTAAATCTATTGGCCCGTCAAAAGCTCCAGGTCCAGATGGTATGCCTGCACTCTTCTATCAGAAATATTGGGGCATTGTGGGTCAGGGTGTTAGTGATTTGTGTCTGAGAGTTTTAAATGGTAGCGATGGTGTTAACGAATTCAACCATACTTTGGTGGCTTTGATTCCGAAAGTTCATTCTCCCACCCGTGTTTCTGAATATCGTCCTATCAGTTTATGCAATGTCCTCTACAAGATTATCTCCAAAACTCTTGCCAATAGACTGAAGAAGGTGTTACCTGAGGTTATTTCTGAGTTCCAGAGTGCGTTTATTCCCAACCATATGATTTTGGATAATGTCTTAGCAGCTTTTGAAACAATCCATTGTCTGAAGAGAAGGGGAAAAACAGGTAAAAAAGAAATTAATTTTGAAGCTTGATATGGCCAAGGCCTACGACCGAGTTGAATGGCAGTTTCTGGAGCAGATGTTGCGGACTATGGGTTTCCCAATCCGGTTTATTCAATTAATTATGGGCTGCGTGACTACTGTTTCTTATTCGTTGTTAATTCAGGGGCGCCCATTTGGGCGAATTATTCCCTCTCGAGGCTTACGGCAAGGGGATCCCATATCACCGTATCTTTTCCTTATTGTGGCTGAAGCCTTCTCCACTCTCCTCCAACAGGCTGAGAGGGATTCTAGATTACATGGTGTCTCCATTGCCCCTTTTGCTCCTTCTATTAACCATCTCTTTTTTGCTGATGACAGCCTTCTGTTTTGTAATGCTGGGACAACTGAGGCTCTAGTGCTAAAACGTATTTTTGGAGTGTATAAGGCGGCTTCTGGACAAAAGGTCAACCTTGGAAAATCCGCTCTTTGCTTTAGCCCTTCCACCCCAAGGGTGTTGCAGGACGATATTCGTCAGCTGTTGAACGTGACTCTTGTCCCTTGTCATGAGCGGTATTTGGGCCTCCCTACCGTTGTCGGTAAGGATAAGAAAAAATTGTTCCGTACAGTTAAGGATCGAGTTTGGAATAAAGTTAATGGTTGGCAAGGCAAGCTTTTGTCTAAGGCCGGGAAAGAAGTGCTCATCAAATCAATATGTCAGGCAATTCCATCATATTCTATGAGTGTGTTTTGTTTGCCTATCGGGTTATGTCGCGAGATTGAGAGCATCATTGCCAAATTCTGGTGGTCTAAAAATGATGGTAGAGGTATTCACTGGAAAATGTGGAGATTCATGTGCCAACACAAGTCTGATGGGGGGCTAGGTTTTAGGGAATTGACAAGCTTTAATCAAGCTCTTCTATGTAAACAAGGATGGCGGCTGCTGGAATTCCCTCACTCACTGATTGCCCAGATGCTTAAGGCTCGTTATTTTCCACAATCTGATTTTTTGGCAGCTTCGAGTGGGTCACTTCCATCGTTTACTTGGCAGTCGTTACTATGGGGGCGGGATCTGCTCCGGTTGGGCCTAAGGTGGCGCATTGGTGATGGCCGGTTGGTTAATATCTATGGTGACCCATGGGTGCCTTATGATCGTTTTTTCACTATCCAGTCGATACCTACTCTTCCAGCTACCTCCCGAGTTTGTGACCTTTTTACCGTGAGTGGCGGGTGGGATGTTGAGAAGGTCTATGCTACTTTCTCGTTTCCAGAAGCTGAAGCTATTTTATCTATTCCCTTAATGGGTGATACTCTGGATCGGAGAATCTGGAACTTTACTAAAAATGGAAGGTACTCGGTTAAGAATGGGTACTGGGCTACTCTGGAATACAAGAGGCTGGAGGAGCTGTCCGCAGGGAGCGTCGCTGGCCCTTCCTCCTCTTCTTTGAAGAGTTGGAAGCACCTATGGAAGCTGAAAGTGCCACAAAAAATCCTTCATCTGTTATGGCGTGTGTCTCAAGATATCCTCCCTTCCAAGGAGGTATTATTCCGGCGCCGGATTACACAGGGGGAGGTCTGTTGTCGTTGTTTTGCTACGAGAGAAACTACGTTGCATGCGTTGGTTGGATGTGTTGTTTGTCTGCAAGTGTGGGAGGCTTTAGATTTTCCCAGTGATTTTCTTCTTCCTACTATAGCTGACGTTGGAACCTGGATGGATGTAGCTTGGTCTATTATTCCCCCTGATAAGCAGTCCCTCTTTGCATTTACTGTGTGGGTGTTGTGGAACGAACGTAATGGGGTGCTGTTTGGCTCTCAACCCACCCCTTCCGGAGTTTTGGTACAATGAGCGAAGGACTATGATGATGAATTTAAACGGTATTCTGCTACCAATCATAGGAGTTTATCCTCGCCGGTTCGTGATATTAAATGGAGGCCTCCTACGGGTAATTGTTTCAAGCTGAACGTGGATGGGGCTACTGACATGGAGTCGGGAGCTAGGGGAGCTGGAGCCATCGTCTGTGACTCTCATGGAAATCTGGTTGGGGCTCTAGCTATGCGGGCGCCAAGTCGGATCTCTGTACTAGCAACAGAGCTGTATGCTCTTAAAGTTGGACTCTCTTTTGCGTTGGACGCATCTCTAGTGCCTCTGGAGATTGAGTCTGATTCCTTGCAAGCAGCTTCTCTGGCCAACAGCGAGGAGGAATGCCTTGCTGCTGAGGGAGGTCTGGTGGATTGTTTCAAAAGCTGGTCAGGTCTGCGTCTGCTGCTGTTCGTCATATTCCTCGCCAAGCGAACAAGGCTGCCCATCGCATTGCCCGCTTCAATTTGCGCGATCAAAGTTTGTCGTACTGGTTGGATGTGGGTCCTTTGTGGCTTATGGATGCTGTTTATGATGATTGGCACGAGCCTACTGTCGTTTGATTTAATATCTTCATGTGTAATCGGGCATATGTGGCACTCTTTTTCCTCCCCAGAAGTTTTTCCCATCGGGTTTTCTTTATGGAGGTTTTAATGAGGCGCTCTACCCATGCCGACATTCCTTTGTCATGTTGATTCGTTAAATGAAGTCTTTCTTTTCACAAAAAAAAACACACACACACACACACACACACACATCATTACCCAGTAAATTTCTGCAGGGGTAATTAATCTACCTGTAAATTTCTTGTGGGTAATTTACGTACTTGTTATGAACAAATAATCACAGAAATAGACGAAGAAGAAAGAAGTGAGTGCAGTAGATTATCAAAACAAGTAATGAAATAATAGACGAACAAGAAAGAACTGAATGAATCAACTATCAAATAATAGAGCACCGAGTACCCCAAAGGCTACTAAGAAACAAAAAAAGACCCATTAAACAGGAATGCAGTGGACTATGAACAAAAAATACACCATAAAAAATAGTATGACGAACCTAAAAATTCTTGAGGTGAACTCACGCATACACTGACGGTTGGAGGCAACAAGAAGTCGCGTGAAGGAAAATCAGGGCTTTGCTCAGAAAAATAAATTTTATGACAGAGGATCCAACAAATGACTACCCCTATGCAAGAGATCATTATGCACATTAAACTCATAATCAAAACTGATGCAAAAGAGTATTGAATTGCAGGCTAATTTGGTGGGCGGAAATCAAAACAATAAACTCAAGAACCAAAGAGTTAATACACCCCCACATAACACGTTATCTTGTAAATAAGGGTAGTTTTGGAATCCTAAAAATATAATAAATCAGATTATAAATTATATTAGGTAACTTGCTTAGTTGGATTCTAGTTATGGGTATTATTTGAAAAAAATTGGGTATTTTAAATAGGAAAATAAAGGAAAGGATTTTTGGTGATTTAAAATGAATTTTATGGGTTTAAGCTCAATTTACTATAATAAAATTAATGGAGGTATGGATTTTCGGGAGTTGGGTAGTTTCAACCATGCCCTGTTATACAAGCAAGGGTGGCGCCTGTTAGAGTTCCTCAATTCCTTGGTAGCTTGTATGCTCAAAGCACGGTACTTCCTCGATACAGATTTCTTACAAGCTTCCCATGGTGATTACCCATCTTTTACGTGGCTGTCCATCTTGTGGGGACGTGAACTGTTACAACTTGGCCTCCATTTGCACATTTGCGAAGGACGGTTGGTTCGAATTTATGGAGATTCTTGGATTCGACATGCCCGTGTGTTTACGGCCCAATCATGGGCCATTTTAGATCCTGATGCTCGAGTGTCTGAACTACTCACTGCCAGCGGAGGTTGGGATATACCAAAGATTTATCAAGTTTTCAATTTTCTCGAGGAAGAGCTTGTTATTTCTATTCCCATCTCTTTGGATAGAAGGATGTGGCACTTTAAATCAAATGGTAGATATAGTGTAAAAAGTGGATATTGGGTAGCTAATGAACATCAACGACTTGCTAGTACTACAGCTGCTGATTGGCCTAGTTCATCTTCTGTCAACAAACTATGGAAACATTTGTGGAAGCTGAAGGTGCCTCCAAAAAATTTTCTTTTTCTATGGAGATTTGTACAGAATATTCTCCCATCAAGGGATGTACTTTATCGGCTCAGGAGGCTGATCACTGATGTTGTTTGTTTTCGTTGCCTTACTGCTCTTGAAACATCCACCCATGCTATGTTTGATTGTGACAGCAGTCGACAAGCCTGGGAAGGGGTGGGGCTTTCTGTTATGCCTCTTATATCACAAAGTCATGAGCCGAAATCTCTACTTGTAGCGGCGCTGGGGGTGTTCTCTGGGGACCAATTACCCGTATTTGCAATTACAGTTTGGCTGTTATGAAATGAGCGCAATGCTATTTTAGTTGGTTATAATCCAACTTTCCAAGGTAGATTGCTGGAACAGGTAAGGAGCTATGATGTTTAGGTTAAACGTATAACTGAATGTCATCATAGGAGTCCCCCCATGCCAACTATTACGGTACGGTGGCAGCCCCCCCTAATGGTTTTTTAAAACTAGATGTGGATAAGGATGTAGATATGAAAGATGGATCGAAGGGGGTTGATTTTGTGGTTCGTGATCCCAATGGTGAATTAACTTGGAGCTGTGGCTATGCGAGCTCCTGACATGGTGTATATCCATGCCACGGAGCTCTACACGCTGAAGAATGGGTTACTCTTTGCATTGGACGCAGGATTTGTGCCCCTGTTTGTTGAAACTGATTGTTTGAATGTTGTACAATTGATTAACAACGAGGAAGTCTGTTTAGCTCCGGAAGGGAGTTTGGTGGAGGAAATTCGCATTCTGCGGCAAGTACCTTCCACTGTTCTTTCCTATATTCCCCGCCAAGCTAATACTCTGCTCATCCTATTGCACAGTTTAGCCTCCATGAACGAGATCTCTCATACCGGATGGAATCAGGTTCTCTTAAGATTTTTGGTCAAATGATGATAATATTTCATTGCAGAGGTTCCTTATACTTCGCAAAAATACAAAAGAATATGCGTTTCTTTGAATGCAAACTTAATATTCACGTATTATACACGTACACAACTATTTTTCACAAATAACACACGTTTCTTGACTTATTGTAAATGCAACAATTCCCGATAGACAATACGCAATGCCAGTTACAAATAAGAGCAGTGTAGTATAAGCATTTGCTGCACTGTTTTCAAGTCACTGTCCCATGCAATTGATTCGAGCAAAAGCTAAGCCACCATGTCTGGAAATTCAACCTCCATAAAATAATAATGTTATCACCAAAATTTGGCAAACGCCACGAAAGGGCCCCAATAAGATAGCTAACTATATAATTAAATCTAACACTTATTACATCAAGTTTCTTTGCTCATCCATGTTTGTTAAAGAATATGCCTTCCGTGACACTCCCACCAAAATTGAGGTGGACCAGTTGGGTGCGTATTATAATCACCCGTTTTGAAACATTTAAGTATTACCTAATGAAGTTACAAAACTGCACGAACAGTGAGATTTATTCCTTTTGCCGTTTACTCATGCTTTTACGCTTGTTAACGTCCATATATTTTTTCCTTAACCGAATGGCCTTTGGTGTAACCTGCACAAATAAAAGCATCATATGATAAGTAATGTGACTACAAATTAGCACCATTCTGTAATGTTCGGGAACCAGAAAGTTGCAACAATCTGTACATATAACGAGGAACTTAGCACCCATTCGGTAATGTTCTGGTTTTCAATTATTTTATTTTCTAAATTAAAGATTGAGGATGAAAATAAATTCCGGGGGTGGGGGGGGTGGGTGTGGGGGGAAGGAGGGAACAAAAAGCGCTTCTACTTTTAAATTTGGTTTTTAGTTTTATTGTATGAACCATTGCACATTTTATTCTCCATCCCATGCATATATCATTTATAATTTCACATTTTATTCTCCATCGCACAAGTATATCATCCCTATTTCTCACTATCCTCTCATTTCTCCTTTGAAAATAAAAACTAAAAACTAAATGAAAAAATGTTACCCAACGGACCTCAGCTGACAGTTCATATGACAACATATGACAACTGTTCACAATTAATCACACATGGACGGATAAAATTAAAATCAGGAGGTACCTCAATAAGCTCATCAGAGGCTACATAGCCTATCGCTTCTTCAAGAGTCATCTGCACCCAAATGCTTTCAGATATTAGCAACCGCATGAAGAGTGTAAAGACAATGAAGGTTTTACTTTATTTAAAATTAATGGCGGGTTTATTACTACCAAAAGCAGAAAAGCAGATTATAGAAGTGGCATTTTTATTCTCCAGCAGTTCTTAATGTTTTGAACATTTTGAATCCGTTGTTGAAACTAACAAATTTTAAAGAATTTCTCTAAAATGTGATGCAACAGAATATTATGCTTTTGGAAAGAAAAAATGGAACATAATAGGAAGATTAATGTAGTGCACTACTTATCAATAGAGTGCAAGCGTGCTTTATACATGACACGAAGTCACTAATCATACAAGAATTAAGCTAATCAAACCATAAGCCTCAAATTTTTCTCATTAAATGATCAGATGTTAAGTAAAGCACTAAAGTAAATGACTAAATTGCTTTTTTTATCAGCCTATATCAACAATGCTTCCCTCTCAAGCTGGAGAGTATATCAACAACTTCCAGCTTGCTACAAGTATAACTGAGACGAATTCTAAATGAGATGAGATCTGTACAAGATGAGAACCAAGAAGAGATCTCATCAGGATGGAGATCTCAGCGAGGCAAGATGGAATCTCCACAGGGAAAAAAACTGAGGTGAGATCTTAACTAGAAAAAACCACAAGAATTTCAACATATCTATCACATAGTAGCTAGAGATAAGTTGGCCACTTTTTGTTCTTCCTCATATTATTGTTTTGTGTGTGTGTGTGTGTTCAAAGTAAGGGCAACATGTTAAAGGAAAAAAAAACAAATCAGAAAAATAAGAGGACGATCCTTGAGTTACACTACTTATCAATAGAGCACATGGGTGTTTAATGTATGGCCAGAAGACACAAATTTGCCAGATAAGCCTTGAATTATGCTAATCAGACAATAAGAATCAAATTTAGCTTGTTAAAAAGTCAGACCTTACGTTAAGCTAATGGACTAAGCTAAAGGTCCCATAATCAGTCATTAAAATAAATGACTAATAACCAGCCTATATTACCAAAGTGCTATCAAGTTGGCCCCTATATTAGGCTGGGGGATTAACTGTAGAAGAATATTAACACTAGCTTGCTTTGATTATCAAGTCAATATATTTTAGGATTAACGATTTCCAAATTGTAGACCATCTATAGATAGACTTGATCCCCTTAATGATGGATAAATTTACTCTAGGGCACATTGCCCAATTTAATATATGGCTAAGCTACAAAACAATCCTTATTTCAATACAGTGACTATATAATGCATGCTAGACAACCCATGGAGAAAACTGTATGCAACAAAGATTAAAGAAGAATAACTTGGTTGATACATACAAGGCGAGGAGGAGCTAGTTTCACATTCTCATCCTTGCTTGCAGCACGCACATTTGTAAGTTCCTTATTTCTTACAGGGTTGACCTGTATTGGCAAGGTCAGTCAACTATACAAACCACAATTTTAATAACATAAATATAACACAATTCATAACATGAAAAGCACATAATTTCCTTACATCTAGATCTGTGTCCCTCGAATGTTCGCCAACAATCATGCCATCATATGTCTGCGTATTAATGAGCAAAAGAGAGACTTTTATCAAACAAACAAAACCACGTCTATCCAGTTCATTTACTAGGTACTCTAGGATCTATAATTTCTTTGAATCAAATAACCACTTACCAGTCTACCTAGTATAGGAAACACAGTTTTCATCCTTTCACTATAGTTATTAATTTTAACCCATTTGAAACAAATTTTTTTATCCTGGGCCATCCTGTTTAAGTTAATTAGCCCCAAAAATTACAGAGTGATCAATTTTATCCTGTCCTTAATTTCTCTTCTTTATATAGAGATGAAGAACAAGACCACACTCTCTCTTTTTGTCTTTTTGTCCTTTTGTTTTTTGTCTGAACAGTACCACACATTTGTAGAGAAAAAGGGTCTAGAGTATTTGGAGTTGGAAAAAGATGGCTGTGACAGAGAGCGAATGATTAAAGAAATACAGAGAGAGCGAATGATTAAAGAAATATGAATTTAATCTTCTCAAAATAAAGAAGCATCCTTTAGTCAATATGAATGTAGTTTTATCATCTAGAATACATGTAATTAGCATAAACAATAGGATCCTTACCTACCACATCTGTAATAACTAAAGAGATTTGGGAAGTTAAAAGATAGGTAGAAACAAGAACTGATCATATATGTACCAACCTCCATGCCAGGATTCACAAAAAGAGTTCCTCGAGGTTCTAAACTCATTAACGCATAGGCTGTGATTGTACCATAGCCCATTGACACCTATTGAGTTAAGTAAAAAGAAGGAAAATACCAGTCATATAACACATACAACTTCCATGTAAACAACAGGTGTAACACAAAGAAGATTTAACATTATATGTTATGATGAAAGTTACATCCATATTCCTATCTTAAAAAATAGTCGATGTTTGAAATAAGCATCAATCATGAAGCAACTGTAGATTATAAAAATAAAAAGTGGTTCTCTTGAGATGTCTCTAATGTTTAAGCTATACATCTTCTCAAGACAAGAGCAGTTAACTTGAAAAATACATTTTAACAAACCTTAACAGATAATTATTCTTCAGAAACAGTGTAGAATCAAATAGTTCATCATAAATCAAAAAGCAAGTACACACATACCAACACTCCTTTCCTGACATTTCCAAGAGGACCTCTGTATTTTTCATAGGCTGTGTAAAAAAAGATAACATGCATGAGAAATTGCAATAAAACAAATAACAGCAGCCTTAACTTAAAAAAACAACAATATTTAAAGCTAATAACAAATAAATGAAGTGAAGCAAAAAAAAAAGCTAAACAGTAGAACATTTGATTTTAGACTGAATACCAGAAAAAGAAAATGGATGAGTTATAACAAGAGGAATGTAATTAGTATTTAGTGCTTTTAATTCAGAACACGCTAGTGGTTCACTCTCCACACTATCACATTTTAGAAGTATATTCTCCAAATATGAAGGTATAATACTTTATAACAGTTGCGATCATAATAGGAACTGCAACGCGTATTGGGAATTTAACGGAAAAGACATTCTGGTCAAATTGCCATACTCTGTATCCATACTCATATCCTGAACCAAGCATAACACAAGTTATGTTACATTTTACAGAAAAATTTTACAATCTAGGGAAAAATGAAAATTTGAAAGTATTTTTTTTGGGTCAGGAAAATCACTGAAAGTTGCTTCATTTGGTTTTAAACTGATTGGAAAAGATACTATCACGAAATTATTTCTGGACTTCTCTGTTAAAACATTTCAAGAACATTAATTTTAGTGTCATTTTTCTTCATTAGAGGTGGAATTCTGGGCTGAGCTTTCTGTGTTGCTGTACTATGTGTTGGTTTAGGTTTTCTCTTTCGATTTTTGTGCTTATTCTGTTATTTTACGTGTTTCATTGACTACTTGTTCGTGTTTATCTCTCTCTCTCTCTCTCTATATATATATATATATATATATATATATTTCAATTTACTCAGCACGACTATGTTCTTTTCTTCCCATTTCGAATAGATCAAAATCAATTCTGTAAAATTAAGATTCATCTGATTAGACCATAATAACTGTTATTAACCAGGCTGAGAATCAGATTTATAAAAATACACATTTAAGAAAATAAACACAATATAAAATTTAAAAAATTCAATTCTTATTTTATGTTCATCAGATGCATAAGTATCATACACTAAGAGTATGTAAACATACATATGCATGAGTTATACATGCATGCATACATCACTATATATACATATAGGCACAGGTGTCCGGACACAAACACAAGCACATCCATATGTCAGGGTCTAGACCTGGACAGAGAACCATGTTAAATCCAAGCAACCAGAAAATGTAGAACTAGGTGATGACCAACTAGGAAAAGAATTACCTCCCTAACGAGGCCCCAGTTACATGACAGATTTAAAGGCAAAACCAAAATGCAAAGGGAATGGAGAGATAAAAGTAACAAGACAGGAAAATCTTACTTAAGAAAGCGCGATGCATAAATCCAGTTCCACGTGTGTCACTGCTAAACACGCTTCTGTAACCAACCAGACCCCTGAAGAATACAACACAAAAGAAGATCAATTTCTATTATTTAAATAGAATGTATCGCCAATGAAACTATAAATCACTAGGCCAGATATAAATCATAAATGGTGATGAAACTAGTTGACTGCATAGATAAAACATGGTTAAAGAGTATGCAATGTAACATTAGATGTGCAATAATGGTAAAGAGTCACCACAAGACCAAATGAGTACGATGGACATAGTGATTTTCATTCTGATGACTACCAATATGGAAAAATGTATAAACGGTACAACCTATCAAATGCTAAACAGATAATTATTGCTTATGTGGCAAAATAATATAGGCTCAGTGAGGCAGAAAGAAGAATTGACATTAAGATGGTAAGAGAACCTTGATGGACATGTCAAAGACAATCTAGTCCTGTCAACACTTCCTGGAACAGGACCCATGTCAACAATCTCAGCTCGCCTATGAGATAAGGCTTCCATAACTAACCCGACATGCTCTTCATTTACCTGCAACAATAATACATGAGTCTCAATTGCTGAAATGAACTACACAATTTTCAGATCTGCAATTCCTTACCTCAATAGTAACTTCTTCAATTGGCTCAAGCTTTTGACCATTCTCCGTTTTATACCTGATTCAGTACCAAAAAACAAAAAACTTAGCTCAAGCTGTCAAAATGAGTAATTCAACAAAAGCAAGGACAGAAGAAAAATCATACAGTGAATTATGTGTGAGCACATATCAGTGTTTTAAATCACGCTCACATAGCGCGCTATATCACTAGCTATATTGCATAGCGTTCCTAATTTTCTATACACATACACTAATGCACGCACAGTAGATATAACAAAATGAAGTCTAGAAAATAGGACCTGCTACTGTATAATCACTGATTTTTTTTTAAGGATATCAGATAAAGTAAAATTATAACACAAGACCTTTTTTCCAAAGCATATAACAAAACATTGGGAACAAAAATGTTAAAAAGAACTCTTCATTCCACCTTCTTTACCATGTATTGACTGTTAATCTTTGCTTATGTCTCCTCCATTAGTATACTACCAAAGTTCCCCAAGTATTTCACATTTTTGCTGCAAATGTCTTTATAATTTTAACACTCTAAACTGATCACCATTATATTTCCAGAACCTCAATATATTTTTCTTTATAATAAAAAGCCCTGGATTTGGGAAATCCATATATATGTAAACAAAATCACATTTACTTAGCAATAAATCAAAAATCAGTGCCTCACATGACTTTGGGAGGTGAGACAGACAGCTCGAAGCCTTCCCGCCTCATATTCTCAATTAAAATACCTGTTTTACACATCATGAAAACTACACTGAGAATATGTTTAAACGTAATTGACAATGAAATGTAGTATATATATTTGGTTGACAAGTAGTCTCTTGGAAGAAAACAAGAAACTGCAAAAATAATTGCGAACTTAAAAGGAACAAACCTAGTTGAAGCTCTCCCCTCCCTTGAACTTCATATGATTCTGATAAGCCTGGAAGAACATTAATGGCAAGATTGGTTTCCGCTTCAGCTGATAGCCGATCACCAATTTTTCCTCCAGTGAGCTGCAAATTATAACATCATCAGTATGTCAGATCATGTAGACTGGTCCAAGTGCAACCCATTCTTACAGGTGCAGTCATCAGTTTTTTGCTTACATTTAAGTGGAATGAAAATACATAGAGTGACGGATGACCATGTTAAAAAGGGCGCAACATGTATTGTGACCCCAATAACACTTGCCTAGAGCATGTCTAGGGCGTTTACAGGTTGGTGGAAAAAATATATATTTTTGGACATTAGCCTGGCTTGGGACTGATACAGAGTATTCCTAGCAGGATGTATTATTATGCAAGTTGAATGAAATTCATTACTTAGAACTAAGAAGTTGCTGGACACCTGCCAAATTTCTACCGTCCTTATGTACTACATAATTTTCAATTGGACAGGTGATTCAAACCCTACTTTTCATAAAAATTGACACCCCACTTTAATGTCAAATTTAGGAAAACATAGATGACAATAAGAGATTACAATACAAACTTTCATATCTCTACTGTTTGTGCTCTATCTATATATTTTTCATAGTTTATCCTAGTTCTAAAGCAAGTACTGATTTTCTATTCATACAATAATGATTTGAAACCAAAAATGAGAAAAATAAAATGAATACATCTATCAAAGTGACAAGTAAATAGCTAAATGCAAATTAAGGGCATTAAAAAAATATATAGTATATATATACTGATTGCAAAAAAACCAAAACGGAAAAATCATGACTTACGTGGGTACCATCACGACCAGCTAATGGAGAATCGTTAACACCAAAAGTCATGGAAATAGTTGGGGGATCCAACTCAACGGTGGGTAATGCACTCATAATCTATCAGATGCAACCATAAGTCAGTTTTCAACAAAATGTACCACTATGACGCTTTATAGAAAGATAAAAACATATAAACCCTTAGAATGATGCAATATAAGAATTACACATCATAATGTTTTACCATCATCTTAAGACAAAGGTAGATAAAATCATTTAAGTAACTAATTTGAAAGACAAAAGACAAGTGATGTAGACTACCTACATAGACATTCAGATCACAAATCGCACCCAAGAGAACGAGCAAACAGAGTCAGACATAACATGGTGCAAAAGTTGTACATCCTTGAAAGAAAAGGATCCCATGATGCTGAACAGATATTACATTCGATTGCAAATCCCATCTGTCTATTAAGAGCATGTCTAACTATATTAGTGACTATAATTGATTTCTTATGTGTATCACTAATCCATAGCACCTCATTTTAGTAAGTGGTATAAGTTTTCATACACTAGTACCCACAGATATGGATTATTAAACCCAATTAAATATAATTATACACTGTGAGGGACATTAAGTATACATTTACTTATTCAAAAATAAACTAATGAAAAGTTCACAAACAGTAAATAACAGAGCATGTTGATTATATCGAATTGGGAAGCAACAATAATCTACTCCACTTGGATGGAATGATTTTTTTTATAAAATAAAAAATTTAGATTTGACAATAGGCTAAGGTATGGCATGTTTTACTTACTTGAAATGGGGAAGGCAAAAATTGGGGAAGTCAAGAATAGGAGAGAGAAGGAATGGGTAAGAGATCACCCATTCCAAGTAAGTAAACATGCCATTAGTTTTTCCTTCGTGCCTCGATAAGCTAAATTAGTTTAAAACTATAACTAATAGAATATATTTGAGATTTAAATAACTAGATAAATATATTTGAAATGGCTAATATAATGAATAATTTCAATTTTTTTTCCTTCTAATACAAATACAAATAGTTGGGTTTTGTAGTAATGCAATCAAGCAATTTAACTATATAATATTAACTGAATTCCTAGGTTTGAAATAATTCCTCCCAAAGGGACCCTTAGTTTCTCATCTAACCTCTACAAAACTCTGGCATTCAACATAATGTGTGTATCTAAAATCCCCTCTGACATATATCAAAATAAACTTGGAGCATTTCTTCATGAAAAACTAATAAAGCCCCTACCCATTTCTTCTCTTTGCATCATTATTGAAAATACTCAATTTCATTGACCTATTTAACTTTTTAACAAAGTATCAGAATAAATCAGAAATCCATTCAACCAAGAAATAACGACAAGTACTTTTATGTCATAAGAATTAAAATTAAATACTTTTCACACTTCTGGCATGATTGATTATAAGTAATGGGAATAATAGAAAGAGACTAGAATAAACAAGGAATAGGAATCGTATCAACTATCCCCTCCTAGTTGATTTGATTTCTGGTTTTGGGGTATTTGATTAAGGATTTTAAGGTGGGACCTGTGTATTAAATTATTTTTTTCTGTGTAAGTTAACGCAAGGGAAGTCAGGAATGGCAATCATTCCCTTTCTTCTTATTCCCATTACTTGTAAGTAAACATGCCATTCGTCATAAATTGTCTAACAAGACTAAGTTTTCAATTCACATTCTCCTCAAAAAAAAAAAAACAACTAAAAAATTTGTTCTCTATTGGTACCACCCTAAATTGCGCAAGAAGAATGCATTCCCACCCATCACCATAATATCCGCAGTACTCACTGAACTGCATTACATCAAGCAATCCTACTACGGTGAAAGCTTCTCATAACTTCACTTTAAAGTAATAGACTTCTACATCACTATATGCGCCAAAACTATTTCAAATGAACAAACAGAATATCAAATATATGTACAGAGAATATCAAATATCAAATGCTTTACCATGGTACAAGCACCCTTAATTTTTAATTGAAAAGTTCAAACTCAAATGTTAAACAAGACACAAAGCACCTACACTTGCCTTATACAACAGCCATCCATAATTTGTTAACACAAACTAGGATCAGTTTAAATAATTATATTAGAACGGAACCAAGGTGAATGCCTATGACTCTGCAAGAAAGGGACTTAAAAACCTTAGCGAGAGCCCCAGTTGAGCCTTCTCAAGGTAGGAACGGAAGTACAACAGATACAAGAAAATATATAGTGAAGTAATTATATATTTAGATTTAAAAAAGAAAATCAGAATAAAAAAAACAATAATGGGAAGATCAGTTGACTACGTGAGACCAAAGAGAAGAAAATGAAAAGACTTGTGAAGGCCATAGACATAATTTCCACTAACATACCTCAACGTTTGCAACCGTATGGCCAATAGATGGACTTCCCAACCCAGCCATGGATACTATGTCACCAGCTCCGGCACTATCAATTAGGGCCATATGTGTTCCCTTCTTTTTCATCAGTTTCACAACCTACAAAAGTAAGCAGTTATCCTGTAAATTAGTACCATTGCCTGTGGAAGATGAAGAAACAAAAAACTAGTTTAGAAAAAATAAAAATAAAAATAATGTAATATTTCAATTTGGTGTTGAGCTTCTTTCCTTATGTAAAAATTATATCTAATGTTCATATTTCATAGAAAGTCGTTGAAATAAGCTTTTGTTCATTTTTTATTTGCCTCAAGAAATGTTATAGTTCTTTTATTTGTGAATGATTAAATAAAGCATTACATAAAAAAAAAATATTAAAAAAAAAAAAAAAAAAAAAAAAAAAAATTCTGAAACAAAATGTTCACAAATATTGGTCTAAGTTTGTAACATGTTCATGAGAAGACAGAGGAAACAGAGAATTTTGTATTATTACGTGTTCAAAAGAATTTTTCAAACATTACCATTATTCTGTGAGAGACAAGGATGTTTCAGAGTTTGTTTACTTTCATCTTAGATACTTAGTCAGAGAAAAACAAAGCAATAAGCCTCAATAATCTAATTAAGAAATTACAAAATGCAGGCTTAGAGCGCTAGTAGTCAAATACAGAACATTCTGAGTAAACTAAAGCCACTTCTGATAAGTCAAATTAACTGAACCAACACATACACATAGATCAAATAATATATAATATGGAACGAGGACATTGATAGTGAACTCTACAAGAGCTTTATCTGAACATGGGTAAAATCTCATTGTGATAAAGAATTAAATATTGTACAGATGCACTACAAGTGGGAAAAATATTTCTTGAGCTCCAACTACAATGAGGAAAATTTACAGCCACAAACCTTCCCTTCTTCAATTTTCTCAACCCCAGAATCTTTGTGACGCAGCCCATGAACTCTGTCACCAACACGAATGCTGCCAGAAGAAACCCGTCCAGTCAATATTCGTCCAAGGTAGAAGTCTCGTTCCATCATGGAAACCTTAGAGCAACGCCAATAAATGCTATTTCAATTTTTCCAACACTATGAACAATAAAAGGAATGAACAGAAAAGATAAAAACAAGTTATTTATCCATTAAGTCAAAGCCGGTGACATGGGTTCTATAGCATAATTATGTGTTTCTTGCAAGTGTGTGTTGCTGGATTATCCATAAAAAGTGCAACTGCGCTCCAGTGTGAATAACTCTATTTCATGCACTAATATTGAAGTCTTCTGCCAAGAACTTGTATTTATAGAGCAATAAACCATAAAGCAACATGAATCCTAAAAAATAATAAGAATAAATAAAATCATACAAATTCATAAAGAATAAAGCAACATAAAAATCATACAAATTCAGAATTCACCATAGTTGGGAAGATTTTGGTTTGAACAATATCCTATATCTAGATAATCCCAGGAACGTAATAAAATTTCCAAAATTGAAATCTGAAGTTAAATTAGCATGAAAACAAACTTTCCAAAAGCTTTACCAGTGCATAGCTTTCAAATCCATCCATGAAGGCATTTCCACATCATAAGATTATGACAAGGATAAAAAAGAAAATCATAATCAGCAATGCACTAATAGCTAGTTAGAGGATATTGGTTATGTTGCCCAAGACCTTAACAAGCAGTTGAAATCTCAAATATTACTAGCTGTCGTCTAATCCTCATTTATAGGATGGTCACACTTCCCACAGAATTCGAAATGTACAAGTGGAATTCTCTAAAGAAACCACTTAATAAATCAAGGAGGAAGGTACATTAACAGACCAGCCAAAAGCAGAAAAAATAATATGGATTCAACCTACATATTCAGCTCAAAAAAGGGAAGTGGGGTGGGGTGAGGATAAATATACAAATACATTCTTTAACAGTTGAATACCAACCAGCATCTGGAAAGGTGCCTCAAGATTGGCTGTTGGTGGAGGAACATGACTTATAATGGCATCAAGCAGCCGTGACATATTTCTTGCATCAGCAGGTGGATCTTTGGTGTAAGTGGTGGAAGCCCAACCTTCCTTAGCAGAAGCATACAGCACAGGAAAATCTAGCTGCTCCTCTAAATCAAGAATAGGAAATATTTTGATTCAGATTTTCATCTGACTAATACAAAGTTAAGACAATGGAAATTAAAGTTGGAACATCCAACCCAAAACCAATTGGCAATGGGTGAAGAGGCCCAGATGTTATATACTGTGATGCAAGGTTTCAACAATCCAATGTCAGATCCTCATGTGTGGCAGGACTGAGACAAACATGTGGATTAATTATATCAGGTGGTGTAAAACACATGTGGCAAATTGTGCTGAACATGTGAATGAATTGCCGGCTTTGATATCATGTTAAAATTAGAGCATCCAACTCAAAACCAATTGAAAATGAGCAGAGGCCCAGGATAATATATATTATAGTGCAAGACTTGAAATACCCAAAGTGGGATTTTAAAATCTCAACATTCCCACTAACGTGTGGCAGGACTTCACCTGACACATAGATAAATTATATTGGTAATATGGAGCATGTGAGACCAGATTGGGCCTGACGTGTGGATGAATTTTCAAAACACACTAAAGTTTGAGCATCCAACCCAAAATCAATGGCTGGAGAGGTCCATGATATTATGTAATGTGGTGTAATGCTTGAAATACCCGATGTGGGATTTTATAATCTCAATATTCTGTTCTTATATTTCCACACCTGAAGCACCAAGATTCGCAAAAAGATCGAATATCAAACTCTCAACTTCATTACACATCTCTTCCGAAACTGCATAAACACAATAACCAATAACATTAGCAATAACCCAAGTAAATGGGAAATACAGCTTAACAGCTATGATCTGAGGGATGGAAGCTGTTCTTTTTTAAAATGAAAATTGTTTCCTTCTTTTTCTGTTTTTTTATTTTTTTAAATGAAAACTGGTTCCTACAAGGCATGGCAAGAGTAAAGTGAAATGGTAAAAGGGGATAATAATAATTAAACAGGATGCCAAATAAAACATAAGACAAATTAAGTTCAGACACACAGCACACAGAAAGAAACATTATGCACAAACAGAATGCTTTCAAGGAAGCAACCCAAAACATCTTGACACAGCTCATCTTTTCTTATGCACTTAACATGTGTCTGCTTGCGCACATATCATAAGTTGACTATCATTCTTTTGTTTGTTATCAAACAAAGCATCAGCACTTTGGTTTGACAAACACGACCAACTCAAACACAACCCAAAGTTTGAATAACTACCTGGGAAAGTATAGTTAATAAGTTGAACAAATACGGAAATAATTTCTTAGCCCAAATTAAAAGATCAACAGAGTCTGAAGTCTTCAACCGTCCAATCCATTTCTAGGATGAGTTCTAGTACCAAATTGTAGAAGTTACAACATGAGAAGTCACAGGCAATTTCCATATACTGTTCTTGACTTAATCATTTAGTTGTAATAAGAAGATTAGCAATAACCGAAATGCTTTCCAAGTCAATATTGTTAAATTATAACTAAGCACTTATATGTTTTTAAATTAAATTAGTTATTGAGAATTGTAATGTCATTTTTTTGCTCAACTCACCCGTGAAACAATGATTTGGCGATCAGAAAAACCCAAAGAACCCAATAATAACTTGGACTAACAAAGATAGACCCCTTAGTCTTCCTTGAACAAAGTGAATTTGTAATTCAGCAAGCAGGCCTCCTAACCCATCCAACCTGCTCATGTCCGCCCTTTATCAATGTCCCCATTCTAAAATTATTCATGCAATTATTAACTTCAATTTTGCAAATTAAAGATGCACCCAGTGTGAATAAGTACCTGCAGGACGATCAACTTTGTTTAGAAGAAGAATAGGTCGCAGCCCATATTTTAAGGCTTTCGCAAGTACAAACTTTGTCTGCGCAAGCGGACCTTCCCCAGCATCAACAACTAAAATTGCCCCCTCAACCATACCAACAACCCGCTCGACCTACAAATCCATCCATAACAAAAGTTAAACAAAAACCAATGAAAACCAATTTCATCCATTAAAGGAAAAAAATTAAAACTTGTTTCCGACTTGCACTCTCAACTAGAAGTCTAAATGAATGTCTGCTGCAGTCACTTACTTCACCACCAAAATCTGCGTGTCCAGGCGTATCAACCATGTTGAGCTCATACTCCTTCCACGGAATTGATGTAACCTACATACAGTTATAAGGTAATTCAATCAAGATTCACCTTATCACTACCAAAATCAACCAAAGTAAAATACAAAGAACTTGGAAAATAAATAAAAAACTAAATTAAAGAACAAATAAATTTTGAAAAAACAAAGACGTTCCCCGACTTTATTCAATAGTTGCATTCTACATTTCTCGCCCTATCCATTTTCTAATGTTACATATGGGTACTATACAAAATCTCAACTTTGGCTCTTGTTTTCCATTTTCTCAGCAACCAAACAAGTCCTCGGATCAATCCAAGAAAAATAAAACACGCCCTCAGATTATATTGCAATTTGCATTGCATTTCTGTAGGAAGTCACTGACCTTTGAGGCGATGGTGATGCCGCGCTCCCGCTCCAGGCTGATAGAGTCCATGGCGCGTTCATGGGGGATGTCGGCCCCGCACTGGCGGAGGAGGCGGTCCATGAGCGTGGTCTTGCCGTGGTCAACATGAGCTATTACCGCCACGTTGCGGAGCCGGCTTGGATTCAGCGCGCTGCTCGGTGAAGTAGCATCGGAGGCCGCAGTGGCTGCCGAGAAGGCGCGTGCGAGTGCTGAGGCGGGTGGGGGCAGTAAGTACGGTTTGGGAGCAATGGATGAAGCTGAGGTAGAGAAAGAGTTTCGGGTGGAGGACCAGAGAGAGCGAAGCACCGGCCCCACCATTTCTAAAAACTGAGACGGAAGAAGGGGTATGCTCGTATCGGATACTCCTCCGAGGATATGGCAAACGACGTATCGTGGACTTTTCTGTTAAGTTGACCATCCGATACGCCTTCGGTACGCCATGGACACACGAGCGATACGGTCCCGATACGGTCAAGGATATGGCGGAGGTTATCTTACAATATACTTAGCCTCTTCTTCTGGATTCGACAGAGGCTAGTTTTTACTGCTTTCGGAGGTAGAGAAGAAAGAAGAAGAAGGAAGATGAAAAGAACTTAGTTGCGCTTGCAGCTGCTGCGAATCTCCAGTTGCAGTTGCTCTGCGAAGAAGAGGCGTCTAACTCGTGAAGAAGATGATGTTAGGTGCCCTATTTACAATACGCATCGTTTTACTTACCTAGGTCTGTTTCACTAAAAGGCCCACTATAAGAAGCATGAGAACCGAATTGGGTTATTAAAAAGTAAGCCCAACCCAGTGGCCCAAACTTTTTTATAATTATTTGGACCCATTATGGACTTATTTATATTATTTTAATCGCTGTATCGGTATTGTATCTGTAATTGTATCCTAGTTTTTGGAGACTTGTTGTATCGGCGTACCCGTATCTATATCTATGCAACATAGACTAAAAGAAATGGCCGAGTTATGTACACTTGTTTGGGTTTTATATTGTTGTTTCTGACCAATAGGTTTAAAGTAGACCTAGCAAACAGGTCATGTTTGTAATGTAGTGTTCGTGTCATTAACAGGTTGACACGACACGACCCGTTAAGTTAATGGATGAAAAATACACGATACGAACACGACCTATTACAATTCGCGAATAACACGAAACGATCTGTTTTATTTGTTAAGAATAAAATAAATAGATAAACTGAAATATATATTTTGGAAGATCTCTCAAATAATTTTATTTGAAGGACACCCTTCAAGGTCCCCTACGATATTTTGTTTCAACGATCCAAACCATCTATTTATTAAGTCTACATTCATAGATCATCCTTGCAAAAAATTAGACAAATCAAAAACCATTCGATACAAAATTGTGTCCTACAAAATCAATAAACATCATGCTTCAAGAATGTACTATATATACAGGGAGCTTCAGTTGAGTGATTCCTCAAATAAACTTATTTGAAGGAGACCCTTGTAGGGCACACTCCGTATTGTATTTCACTAATCCAAATTGTCTATTTTGTAGATACTCATTCAAAGATCATCTCTACCAAAAAATAAAAAATAAAAAATAAAAATCACTTAAATCTGATGTCATTTGACCACTCAATTAAACTATTAAAATTTTAGTACCTTCTTGAAGCACTGTATTCATTGATTTTATAGGACACAATTAGATATTGAAACGGTTTCCGATTTGTCTAATTTTTTGCAAGGATGATCTACGAATGTAGACTTAAAAAATAGATAGTTTAGATGGTTGAAAAAAAATTTGTAGGGAACCCCAAAGGTTTGAGGGGTCTCTCAATAGAACGGGACTGTATATATATATATATATATATCAAACATTGCGTTGCTCAACCCCTCACCCAATTTCCAAGACCACTCAAGAATCAATCAAATACTTGCATATCATTCGATTTGTAGTTATTTGGTCTTGCCAATATAATTGGCTCTTTTGTTGTGTTTGCTATTGCTCTTCATTTGAGTTTGAGACAGTCTGTATGCTATTAAGAGATTTGAGTTTTACACCCCCAAAAGAAAAAAAAGGCCTCCTTCCCGCACTCTATCTTAACCCCCTTTCAACGCCCTGCCCTTTCTGATTACTCTTCAATTTCATTGTATTCAAATAGCCTTTATTTAATTTGATGAGTCATTCTACAGTGAGGACCTTATATATGAGAAAAACTTCCCTAGCGTGGGGATGCTAGGGTAAGCATTCCAACTAAGTATCCCCAACTAGTAATTTCTTGATGGCTGGAAATCACTCTTTAAAAAATAAAAAATGGTTAGACCAACACTAAGTCCTTTCTCTCCCGATCTGCTCCCCACCCACAGCAGCTAGCTTCGGTGTTGACGTTCATTCTCTCCTGACTTGCTCCCCCGCCACAGCAACTGGCCTCGGCGGCAACGTTTACACCACCATCCTCCATCCTCCCTGTGTCCTTCCTTCATCATCGTCAACATCTCTCCTCACAAACTCTCTCACTCTCATCTCTCTCTTCACACCGACAATAATGGAGGCGGCGACCTTGCCAACGTCCAAATTTCATGTGGCTAACATCATATCTGAAGGCCAACCTCTAGAATTTCTTATGCGAAGAGAAAGAAAGAAAGGGTGAGATAGAGAGCTAGTGAGATGAGAGAGATAGAGACAGAGACAGAGACAAAGACAGAGACAGAGACAGAGACAGAGACAGAGAGAGAGAGAGCGAGAGAGAGAGAGGGGGGGGGGAGGGAGAGACGATAGCTGAGAGAGGAGAGAGGATTTCAGTTGCAGGAGACGAGAGAGGATTTCAGTTGCAGGAGACGAGAGAGTGAGATGAGAGACAAAGAGAGAGCCAGTGAGAGATGAGAGAGAAGAAGAGCGGTTTTAAGTTGCAATGATGGACTCGTGGAGGATGGAGAAAACGTGGCCAAAAAATAATTCTTTCATATTGTGGTGACAACTGTTGATAACTGATTGGTTGGGGATACTTAGTTGGAGTCCTTACCCTAGCATCCTCGTGCTCAGGAAGTTTTTCTCCTTATATGTGGCCTTTAGGTGAGGTCATATCTCCTAACCGTTGGATTAGGCTAATCAATTTAATCCAATGGTTAAGAGATAGAGCATCACCTAAAGGCCATACAGAATGCCTTTACTATAGAATTCTTGTTGATTTCATAGCAATTGGGCTTTTAGATTAAAAATTTGTATTTTCAAGTGTTTAATTTTTAAGTTTGATTTTTTTTTCCTCATTTTCGTTTATAAGGGTTTGGTAGGGTGTTTGGTTGCTAAGAAACTGTAGGAAATCAGACCACATGTATGCATAAGCAGCCCTTGCCTTTTTATTTTGCAAGTAAAATTATTTGGGATTATCTGTCTATGAGGAAATGAAGAACAAAGTATGTGGGAGAGAGAGAGTGTGTGTTAGGTAGAGAAGAAAGGTAAGAAAAGAAGAAAGGTAAGAAAAAAAGAAAAAGAAAAATGAAAGGTTTAAAAATTTATAAAAATACATTTGCCCTTAACGAGTGGCTAAAGGGTCTACCTGTTTTCAACCCGACCCGTTTAGTCAAACCTGAATACTTATTTTTTTCTTACAAATTCGTGTTGTGTTAGCAAATCGTGGACAATACTGCCAGAACCAAACAAGTCCTAGGATCTTTCCAAGAAAAATAAAACATGTCTTCAGATTAGATTGCATTTTGCATTGCATTTTTGTACGAAGTCACTAACCTTTGACACAATGGTGATGTCGCGCTCGCGCTCAAGGCTGATAGAGTCCATGGGACGTTCATGGGGGATGTCGGCGCCGCATTGGCGAAGGAGGAGGTCCATAAGCGTGGTCTTGTCGTGGTCAACTTCAACTATTACCGCCATATTATGCAGCCATTTTGGGTTCAATGCGATGCTCAGTGAAGTGCATAAGAGGCCACAATGGCTGCTGAGAAGGTACATGCGAGTGCAGAGGCTCGTGGGGTCAGTAGGCACGATTTGGGGGCGATGGATGGAGATGAAGAAGAGAAAGAGTTGCTGACTTCGGTAAAAGTGTGAGTGACCAGGAAATTAAGGATAGTATCTTTGCTATTGGCCCTTACAAAGCTCAAGACTTGTGCATTGTCCAAGATTCCTTTGTGGGACTTTCTTTTTCTTCTTCTTGACTTGACTCAACAACCCTCCCATTTAGGATAGAACTCTAAGGGTATCTCTGAAGCGAGTGAGGACCATAGAGAATGAAGCAACGACCATTTCTAAAAACTAAGAGAAATGGCTGAGTTCTGTACACTTGTTTGGGTTTTACGTTGTTGTTTCTAACCTATAAGGTTTAAGACGTTTCCCTCTAGGTCGTTGCCGCCAAACTAGAGGAAGAAAAAAAATCAAAACTTCGGTTTTTGGGACCAACTCGATTTATATCGGAGGCGGTTGCCGTACCCTAACTTTCCAAAGCATCCGTTACCAAACCGAACCGACATATATTTATACATATTTCTTCTCTTTATAATGTACACATGTCAAGCTATGATTGGTTATAGTAAACAAGTGGCGATATGTTATTTTTTAAAATAGCTAGTTCTACATTAGACTAGAATTGGCTATTATCACAGCCCACAGAAATATCGGAGTCGCCTCTTCTTTCTTTTCCATTTGATCAACTCTCTCTTTCGAGCTCTCATTTCCTCTCTCTTACAAAATTTTGATTCCCTCTCATCTCTGTTCTCTCCTCCTCATCAATCATCTTCTCCATCTCTATTATTTGATTGAAGCACCTTTCTCTTCCACATAACCACCACCAATCCCTCCACTTTCCAGGAGATTGCCCTCACCTCTGTCTCCTCTCGTCACTCGGTGGGTAAATATCATTTGTGCCATTTTGTGTATGCTTGCAATTTTAGGTATTATGTTTAAATTAGTTTTGGATATTGATTAAGGGTGCTGATTGGGGTTTCTACTAGTTTTGAATTGGGTTTTTTTTATAATTTTATTTTATTTATAATTTTATTTTATAATGGGCTCCTTAAACCACCTATTTAGACAAATTTTAGGGAGTTATTGGAAAATTACAACTCCAACCATGCTCTCTATCCACCTCCTAAAATAGAGTGACTTATAGGAGCTCATCCACAATGATGCTCTCTATTTCTTAGCTAAAATTTGGCTAAAAATATAAGAAAGCTATTTTAGGAGCTCTCTAAAAAATTTTAACTCCAACCATACTCCCTAATTTGGAGAGTCATAAATGCTATAACTCTTTTTTGATTGGTCCATCTTAATCAAAAAATAAAATAAAAAATAGTTAGCATTAAATAAAGGTTTAAAATACTTCTTAAATAAAGCAGCATTAAATTATAGGGAGCCACTAGGAGTCTTTTCTCTCTCCTCAGATTTAGGAGCTCATAGAGGACTCCCTATTTTAAGAGGTGGATAAGGAGCGTGGTTGGAGTTGCATTTTTACGATTCCTCCCTAAAATTTGTCTACGGAGGTGGTTTAGGGAGCCCATTATAGATGCTCTAAATCTGAGGAGAGAGAAAGGATTTCTAGTGGCTCCCTATAATTTAATGTTGCTTTATTTTATGAGTATTTTAAACCTTTAATTAATGCTAACTTTTTTTTTTTATAGAGATGGACCAATTAAAAAGAGTTATAGCATTTATGACTCCCTAAACTAGAGTGTATGATTGAAGTTATTTTATAGAGAGCTCCTAAATAGTTTTTGTATGTTTTTAGCTAAATTTTAACTAAAAAATAGAGAGCATGATTGTACATGCTCTAAGGTCTTTATTATAAAGTATTAGGGGTTTTTTATTAGGTTTTTTTTATGTATTTTTTTAGTACAAGTGATAAAACTATAAGGGGAGAGGGTTCTCACACACACACACTGGTGCCATGGAGATTAAAGTTTTTATAGCTAGTCTGCAAGTTAAAGCACTTTTCCATTAGTTTAGACGTTGGCTTTAATAAAGTTATTAATTCAAGTTTTCTAATAAGTTTGGTAGTAGATTAGAGCTTTGAATTTAAGGGTTTGGCTAAGTTTATTATAGGTTTGAAAATGGTGCTGGCTAGTTAAATTATGGTTATTAATTAGGGGCTTGGTTTTAATTAAGGGTTTTTAAGTAATTTGGTGTTCTTAGCTTAAATTAAGGGCTTGTTTGGGTTTCGTTATCTGTTGATACTTGGTTTTCGCACCACCAATCAAAGTGCGTCTCAACCTTTGGGCCAATCCTTTCTCAAGGGTGTGTGGAATAAGGTGATTGACTTTAAATGAATTTATTAAAATACTGAAGGATCGGTAATGTGTGTAATTTTAGGATTTTTATTTATTGCATTATTGTAAAATTGGATGATATATTTTAGTAATTGACCTTATCTAGAATTGGAAAAATTATGTTATTATCTTTCACATTATTAAAGTATTTATTGAGTTTAAACCAAAGCCCCTTATTGGAATGACTTAGATGTTGCAAAATGCGGATAAATACATTTGTGTAAATGTAGAGGCTCAGAATCCAAGCTTAGGTGACATTTTCTAAAAAAATTTCTCTTACTAAACTTATTAACTCAAAAATCTTCTTTTAACCAATGAGGTGTTAGTTGGATTGGCTTGGTGTTTGGTGTGCTCCCAAGTGATCTTGGGTTCAAGCCTTCATGGTACGTCTGTGAGTGAAATTCCCCCTCCCTCTTTCTAACTTTGGCAACAAAAAGAAAAGCGATAATGGGGAGGAGATTTTTTACAGACACATTGTTAAGGTGCCATCATGAGGGTTCAAACATGAAACTATTGATATGCAAGTGAAGCCCCTTTTTTATTAGGTTAGACTTGGTTGGCAAAGAATTAAAAACAAAAATCTTCTTTTAAAAAGAACAAAAGAGTAAAAATTGTATCTCTATTAATTGGTCTTATATTAATTAGGTTAAATTGTATCTCTATCTTTCAAATTAGTACTATTTTGTGTGTGAAAACTAAAGCTCCCTTATGTATTCCGCTCTTCATCTTAACCGTACAATTCTTCTCATTTGTCTTACTGTTTTGTTGCAAAACTGTTTTAATACTTTACTCAAGACAAGTACTATTTGATTAAAGAAAAAAAAGGCTTCACGCACGGGGAGAGAGGCTAGCAGACAAGAAAGAGAAAGGGATAGTGAGGTGGGCTTTGTGTGGCCTTCACAGTTGGGAAAAAAATTAAAAAAATTCTGTATGGTATAATAGGGCATACAGACCACTATCTGCCTCAGTCCAGTGCTATCTTGCTTTGCTTGAGCACTGAGATTACAACATATTTGCCTTCTTTATAGTCCACAAGAAGTATGGAACACAATAATATTACATAAGGGAAAATACAAGCAGAAAATGAAAAACAACAAATGCCAAGAGTACTGGCATAAATGGAAAATGAGGACTTAGAAGAGGAACTGTGGTTGTTACAAGAGAGAAAAGTAACATGAAAATTTAGAGAAACACACAATGCCTCGCCTTCCGTCGCCTTTTCTTTGGTTTAGGGGGTTGCAGAACAACTTTGATGGCAGCATCAAACACAGCCTTCACATTCTAAAGTTCAAGCCAGAGAACAGTAAGTTAGTTTGAGCACTTGATCACAGCCTTGACATTCGTAATTAGTGTAATGATTATTGACTAACTACACTATCTATATAAAGCCTGGTTAATCATTTGTAAACAGAGTAAAGGGAAACAATACTTTCAAATCACAGTTAAAGTTGTAGGCAGAGAGAACTTTTGGCCTTTTGCATGATATTTGCTACCAAAAGAAAATACAGTCTGTTTCCATGACTTTAGACATGAAAGGGATTCCCTACATTAAAAAAAAATTAAAAAAACCTCTTGGAGAAAATGAGTTTTCATAAGAACTGAGAAAATGTAGCAGCATTCTAAATAGATACATCAGATCAAGTTCTAGTTATAAGTATAACCAAATAATTTGAGTTTTATGTGTAATCCTAGTTGGAGTTTTAAAGATCAGATCAAATTCAAATAATTAGCTAATTAGAGAGTTATATTTAACAATAAGCACTAGGAAATTAAGCAAACCTGCTGAGTCTTGGAGCTGCACTCTATATAGACAGCAGCACCAATTGCCTTCTTCAGCTCTTCACCCTGCTCAAGAACATTGAAGAACATTTCATAGTTTAAGAATTGACAGTAGGAAGTAGTCTGTTAGAAAGCAAGATAAAGAGGACAGACAATCAACTCCTATGCCCTTTATTGTGTAAGTTAACTTGCCTGTGCAATTGATATTGGTGTAGCACCAGGATGATCAATCAAATACTCTTTGTCCTCCCGCAAATCTGCAGCCAAAATTACTATCAGAATTACATCAAGATCAAATTCTAGTGTTCATACACAAGCAACCAAAAACACAGAAATGCGTGCACACGAGCGTGCACACACGCACACATATATTATACGCACATTTTGTGCTTTTTATGACTTTTATCTACTATAAATAACACATACCAAGTTTGGTTCCCACAAGCACAATGGGGACTGTTGGAGCATAATGCCTCAGCTCAGGTATCCACTGGGTGTCAATCAATAAAAGTTGATGTGCATATTAGATTCTGACTGCTAAGAGTACAAAAATACAAGTAAAAAAACAAATCAAAATATTGAAATGTTTAACAAACCTTCTTGGCAATGTTTTCATAGCTGGCTTTGCTGATGAGAGAGAAGGCCAACAAGAACACATCAGCACCTCTATAGCTCAGAGGCCTCAGCCTGTTGTAATCTTCCTGTCCTGAATTCCGAAGAGCACATACAATAAGCACGTGCATATTGAAAATACAAGTAATCTTTTTTGCAGATGTATTCTAGTCAGTTTGTCAAACTAACCATATCATTTTATGCAAAATTGACGGGTTCAAAAAATCAAATGTTCAAACTAAACAATCTCTCTTTTCTTTTCTTTTTCTTAGCAGTTAGGTTATCAAACTAACACCACTTAATTTATGCAAAATCCACATGTTCAATAATCCAGATAGTGATTGACAGAGCCAGAAACTGCCAAAGCATATGAACAAAGAACATTGTAATCTCTATCCTTACGAGAAGGAGTTTGTAGTTCAAGTAGTTAACAACAATCACTCGTACAACCGAGGTTGTGTCTTTGATTTCCCCATCCCCCAATAAATATTGCATGCATTGTTGTAATTTCTATGAAATCAGAAAGAGCATCTAGCATGATTCATTGCAGCAACTCAATTGAAATTTATTTTCTGTCTTTTTTTTTCTTTGTAGTTTAGGTCAGTACTTCAACAAGTATATATGACCTTGATAATCTCTTCACCACAGTAGCAAGTAATTCAAGAACAAAGCACCCACATACAGAAGCAAAGCAATTACTTAATTACCTGCAGTGTCCCATAATCCAAGGTTAACTGTGCTGCCATCCACCACCACATTAGCGCTAAAGTTGTCGAACACTGTAGGCACATAATCCTATAAAATAAATTAAAATTTAAAAATTTAAAAATGGGAAAGATCACAATTTAAATAAATAACCATGAAACATGATTAGCATATATTCATGCTTAATCTTACAGTGGGGAAGGTGTTGCTGGTGTAAGAGATTAGCATGCATGTCTTCCCAACAGCTCCATCTCCAACAGTGACACACTTGATGAATCTAGCTGTGCTCATTTTCTTTGCTTCACTCACCCTCTGCTCTCAATTACCAAATTACCCTTCTCTCTTCTCTGTCCACTTCCATTGACCCAAGCCTCTCGGCTGCGTCTCTTCCTCAACTATAAACTTCTCTGTTAAAAAATGTTAAGTGGAGCAATTAGAGAAAAGAGAAGAGAAGTAGGAAGGAAGAGGGAGGCTAGGGATCTGGGAGCTGGGTTGAGTTTGAATTTTGAATAGAAATGGAGGGCAAGGAGACATTTAATAAGGGGAGGACCACCACACCACCCACTTCCATTAGCTTTGCTGCTTTATTGTTTTACTATGATTGCCATTGGCTTTTCTGTTTCTTTAAGGGGAGGCCAGAGAGGCTAAAGACCAATAAAGGAGGAGTTTGGTGTTTGGTGTTAGTGTTAGTTGGTTAAGTATGGGAGAAGGGAGAGGTTTAATCATGAGTATTGTGGAAATATAACATTGCTTACTTTCCTATACAAAAAATAATATTGCTTAATACTTTTTTTTTGTTGTTGTCAAAGTTAGAAAATGGGGAAGGTTTTCTCACGCACACTACCAAGATATATATATCATTGGGGTCTAAACTTGAGACTACTAGTCCACAAATTAAGGTATTTTTTCACTTGGCTAGACCCATTGGCAAAAAAACATTGCTTAGTTGACCAAATAATCATCATCGATGCATGTAATAAGAAAAAGAAGAAGAAGAAGGGGTTACAAATCCAAAAAAGAATAAAATTGAAATTACTGGAGCCGTCGATTGCATATTCCATCTAATATTGGTTGTATGTTTGACTTCGGATTCTTTCGATGGAGAAAAGCACTACATGGTTTTAACTTTCAAGTTAACTATCTACATGGTAGATATAGTGTAAAAAGTGGATATTGGGTTGCTACGGAACATCAACGACTTGCTAGTAATATAGCTGCTGATTGGGCCAGTTCATCTTTTGTCAACAAACTATGGAAACACTTGTGGGAGCTGAAGGTGCCTCCAAAAATTTTGCTTTATATATGGAGATTTGGGCAGAATATTCTCCCATCGAGGGATGTACTTTATCGGCGCAGGCTGATCACTGATGTTGTTTGTTTTCGTTGCCTTACTGCTCTTGAATCATCCACCCATGCTATGTTTGATTGTGACAGCAGTCGGCAAGTCTGGGAGGGGGTGGGGCTTTCTGTTATGCCTCTTATATCACAAAGTCATGATCCGACATCTCTACTTGTAGCGGAGCTGGAGGTGTCCTCTGGGGACCAATTACCTGTATTTGCAATTACAGTTTGGCTGTTATGAAATGAGCGCAATGCTATTTTATTTGGTTATAATCCAACTTTCCAAGGTAGATTGCTGGAACAGGTAAGGTGCTATGATGCTTAGGTTAAACGTATAACTGAATGTCATCATAGGAGTTCCCCCATGCCAACTATTACGGTACGGTGGCAGCCCCCCAATGGTTTTTTAAAACTAAATGTGGATGAGGTTGTAGATATGAAAGATGGATCGAAGGGGGTTGGTTTTGTGCTTCGTGATCCCAATGGAGCTCTACACGCTGAAGAATGGGTTACTCTTTGCATTGGACGCAGGATTTGTGCCTCTGTTTGTTCAAACTGATTGTTTGAATGTTGTACAATTGATTAACAACGAGGAAGTCTGTTTAGCTCCGGAAGGGAGTTCGGTGGAGGGAATTCGCACTCTTCTGCAGCAAGTACCTATATTCCCCGCCAAGCTAATACTCTGCTCATCGTATTGCACAGTTTAGCCTCCGTGAACGAGAGATCTCTCATGCGGGATGGAATCAGGTTTCCCACTCCGGAGTTTTGTCCCAGAATTTTTTTGGTAAGGTTTTAACGAGGCCACATTGATACATTCTTTCTTCCCAATTTTTTGGGGTTTAATGAAATGGATTTTTCTATATAAAAAATAGATTTCCATATTTTTCAATATTTACATGTTATCAAACTTATGCAAAAGGGAGCATCTTTAACAAGTATTTTATGTTGAATTTTTTTGTTTGTTTGTCAAATGGTGATAATATTTCATTGCAGAGGTTCCTTATACTTCGCAAAAATACGAAAGAATAAGTGTTTCTTTGAGTGCAAACTTATTATTCGCGTATTATACACATACATAACTATATTGCACAAATAACACACGTTTTCTTGACTTATTGTAAATGCAACAATTCCCGATAGACAATGCGCAATGCCAGTTACACTTTAGAGCAGTATAATATAAGCATTTGCTGCACTGTTTTCCAAGTCACTGTCCCATGCAATTGATTCGAGCAAAAGCTAAGCCACCAAGTCCAGAAATTCAACCTCCAAGTCACTGTTACATTTTACAGAAAAACTATTTTACAATCTAGGGGAAAAATGAAAAATTGAAAGCATTTTTTTTTGGTCAGGAAAAACACTGAAAGTTGCTTTATTTGGTTTTAAACTGATTGGAAAGGTACTATCACGAAATTATTTCCGGACTTCTCTGTAAAAACATTTCAAAAACATTAATTTTAGTGTGATTTTCTTCATTGGAGGGGGCGTACTGTGCTGAGTGCTTTCTGTGTTGCTGTTCTATCTGTTGGTTAAGGTTTTCTCTTTTGATTTTTGTGCTTATTCTTTTCTTCCCATCTCGAATAGATCAAAATCAATTCTGCAAAATTAAGATTCATCTGATTGGACCATAATAACTGTTATTAACCAGGCTGAGAATCAGATTTATAAAAATACACATTTAAGAAAATAAACACAATATAAAAAAAATAAAAAAATTCAATTCTTACTTTATGTTCATCAGATGCATAAGTATCATACACTAAGAGTATGTAAACATACATATGCATGAGTTATACATGCATGCATACATCACTATATATACATATAGGCACAGGTGTCCGGACACAAACACAAGCACATCCATATGTCAGGGTATAGACCTGGACAGAGAACCATGTTAAATCCAAGCAACCAGAAAATGTAGAACTAGGTGATGACCAACTAGGAAAAGAATTACCTCCCTAACGAGGCCCCAGTTACATGACAGATTTAAAGGCAAAACCGAAATGCAAAGGGAATGGAGAGATAAAAGTAACAAGACGGGAAAATCTTACTTAAGAAAGTGCGATGCATCAATCCAGTTCCACATGTGTCACTGCTAAACACACTTCTGTAACCAACCAGACCCCTGAAGAATACAACACAAAAGAAGATCAATTTCTATCATTTAAATAGAATGTATCGCCAATGAAACTATAAATCACTAGGCCAGATATAAATCATAAATGGTGATGAAACTAGTTGACTGCATAGATAAAACATGGTTAAAGATTATGCAATGGAACATTAGATGTGCAATAATGGTAAAGAGTCACCACAAGACCAAATGAGTACGATGGACATAGTGATTTTCGTTCTGATGACTATCAATATGGAAAATGTATGAACAGTACAACCTCTCAAATGCTAAACAGATAATTATTGCTTATGTGGCAAAATATAGGCTCAATGAGGCAGAAAGAAGAATTGACACTAAGATGGTAAGAGAACCTTGATGGACATGTCAAAGACAATCTAGTCCTGTCAACACTTCTTGGAACAGGACCCATGTCAACAATCTCAGCTCGCCTATGAGATAAGGCTTCCATAACTAACCCGACATGCTCTTCATTTACCTGCAACAATAACACATGAGTCTCAATTGTTGAAAGGAACAACACAATTTTCAGATCTGCAATTCCTCACCTCAATAGTAACTTCTTCAATTGGCTCAAGCTTTAGACCATTCTCCGTTTTATACCTGATTCAGTACCAAAAAACAAAAAACTTTGCTCAAGCTGTCAAAATGAGTAATTCAACAAAACCAAGGATAGAAGAACAATCATACGGTGAATAATGCGTGTGCGCATATCAGTGTTTTAAATCATGCTCACATAGTGCGCTATATCACTAGCTATATTGCGTAGCGTTCCTAATTTTCTATACACATACACTAATGCACGCACAGTAGATATAACAAGATGAATTTTAGAAAATAGGACCTGCTACTGTATAATCACTGATTTTTTATTTATTTATAAGGATATCAGTTAAAGTAAAATTATAACACAAGACCTTTTTTCCAAGGCATATAACAAAACATTGGGAACAAAAATGTTAAAAAGAACTCTTCATTCCACCTTCTTTACCATGTATTGACCGTTAATCTTTGCATATAACAAAACATTGGGAACAAAGTATCAGAATAAATCAGAAATCCAATTCAACCAAGAAATAACGACAAGTACTTTTATGACATAAGAATTAAAATTAAAATACTTTTTACACACTTCTGGCATGATTGTTTATAAGTAATGAGAATAATAAGAAAGAGACTAGAATAAACAACGAATGGGAATCAGATCAACTATCCCCTCCTAGTTGATTTAATTTCTGGTTTTGGGGTATTTGATTAAGGATTTTAAGGTGGGAATGTGTATTAAATGATTTTTTTATGTGTCAATAAACGCAAGGGAAGTCAAGAATGGCAATCATTCCCTTTCTTCTTATTTCCATTACTTGTAAGTAAACATGCCATTAGTCATAAATTGTCTAACAAGACTAAGTTTCAATTCATATGGTCCAATTCCAAAAAAAAAAAAAAAAAAAAAAAAAAATAATTTTGTTCTCTGTGCAAGAATGCATTCCCACCCATTACCATAATATCCACAGTCCTCACTGAACTGCATTACATCAAGCAATCCCACTATGGTGAGAACTTCTCATAGCTTTGCTTTAAAGTAATAAACTTCTACATCACTATATGCGCCGAAACTATTTCAATTGAACAAACAGAATATCAAATGTATGTAGAGAGAATATCAAAATATGAAATGCTTTACCACGGTACAAGCAGCCTTAATTTTTATTTGAAAAGTTCAAACTCAAATGTTAAACAAGATTCAAAGCACCTACACTTTGCCTTATACAACGGCCACTAATAATTTGTTAACACAAACTAGGATCAGTTTAAATAATTATATTAAAAGGGAACCAAAGTGAATGCCTATGACTCTGCAAGAAAGGGACTGAAACACCTTAGTGAGAGCCCCAGTATCAAGCCTTCTCAAGGTAGGAACGGAAGTACAAGGGATACATGAAAATATATAGTGAAGTAATTATATATTCAGATTTAAAAAAGAAAATAGGAAAAAAAAACAATAATGGGAAGATCAGTTGATTAAGTGAGTGAGACCAAAGAGAAGAAAATGAAAAGACTTGTGAAGGCCATAGACATAATTTCCACTAACATACCTCAACGTTTGCGACCGTATGGCCAATAGATGGACTTGCCAACCCAGCCATGGATACTATGTCACCAGCTCCAGCACTATCAATTAGGGCCATCTGTGTTCCCTTCTTTTTCATCAGTTTCACAACCTACAAAAAGTAAGCAGTTACCCTGTAAATTAGTACCATTGCCTGTGGAAGAAGAAGAAACAAAAAACTAGTTTAGAGAAAAAAAATTAAATGTAATATTCCAATTTGGTGTCGTGCTTCTTTCATTATGGAAAAAATGATAGCTAATGTTGATATTTCATAGAAAGTTGTTGAAATAAGCTTTTGTTCATTTTTTATTTGCCTCAAGAATGTTATAGTTCTTTTATTTGTGATGATTAATAAAGCTTCCTTAAAAAAATAAAAAGTAATAACTTCTTCTGAAACAAAATGTTCACAAATATTGGTCTATGTTTGTAACATGTTCATGAAAAGAAAGAGGAAACAGAGAACTATGCATTATTACGAGTTCAAAAGAATTTTTCAAACTTTACTATTATTCTGTGAGAGACAAGGATGCTTCAGAGGTTGTATATTTTCATCTTAGATACTTAGTCAGATAAAAACGAAGCTATAAGCCTCAATAATCTAATTAAGAAATTACAAAATACAGCCTTAGAGCACTAGTAGTACTAACGCCATTTCAGATAAGTCAAATTAACTGAACCAGCACATAGACATAGATCAAATAATATATAGGTTGGAACGAGGACATTGATAGTGAACTCTACAAGAGCTTTATCTGAACATGGGTTAAACCTCATTGTGATAAAGAATCAAATATTGTACAGATGCACTACAAGCGGGAAACATATTTCTTGAGCTCCAACTACAATGAGGAAAATTTACAGCCACAAACCTTCCCTTCTTCAATTTTCTCAACCCCAGAACCTTTGTGACGCAGCCTATGAACTCTGTCACCAACACGAATGCTGCCAGAAGAAACCCGTCCAGTCAATATTCGTCAAAGGTAGAAGTCTCGTTCCATCATGGAAACCTTAGAGCAATGCCAATAAATGCTATTTCAAATTCTCCAACACTATGAACAATAAAAGGAATGAACAGAAAAGATAAAAACAAGTTATTTATCCATTAAGTCAAAGCCGGTGACATGGGTTCTATAGCATAATTATGTGTATCTTGCATGTGCAATGTGTTGCTGTATTATCCATAAAAAGTGGAACTGCGCTCCAGTGTGAATAACTCTATTTCATGCACTAATATTGAAGTCTTCTGCCAATAACTTGTATTTATAGAGCAATAAACCATAAAGCAACATGAATCCTAAAAAATAAAAAGAATAAATAAAATCATACAAATTCATAAAGAATAAAGCAACAGAAAAATCATACAAACTCAGAATTCACCACAGTTGGGAAGATTTTGGTTTGAACATATCCTAAATCTACATAATCCCAGGAATGTAATAAAGTTTCCAAAATTGAAATCTGAAGTTAAATTAGCATGAAAACAAACTTTCCAAAAGCTTTACCGGTGCCTAGCTTTCAAATCCATCCACGAAGGCATTTCCACATCCTAAGATTATGAAGAGGATAAAAAAGAAAATCATAATCAGCAATGCACTAATAGCTAGTTTAGAGGATATTGGTTATGGTGCCCAAGACCTTAACAAGCAGTTGAAATCTCAAATATTACTAGCAGTTGTCTAATCCTCATTTATAGGATGGTCAAATTTCCCACAGAATTTGAAATGTACAAGCAGAATTCTCTAAGGAAACCACTTCATAAATCAAGGAGGAAAGTACATGAACAGACCAGCCAAAAGCAGAAAAAATAATATGGATTCAACCTACATATTCAGCTCAAAAAAGGAAAGGTGCCTCAAGATTGGCTGTTGGTGGAGGAACATGACTTATAATGGCATCAAGCAGCCGTGACATATTTCTTGCATCAGCAGGTGGATCTTTGGTGTAAGTGGTGGAAGCCCAACCTTCCTTAGCAGATGCATACAGCACAGGAAAATCTAGCTGCTCCTCTAAATCAAGAATAGGAAATATTTTGATTCAGATTTTCATCTGACTAATACAAAGTTAAGACAATGGAAATTAAAGTTGGAACATCCAACCCATAACCAATTGGTAATGGGTGAAGAGGCCCATGATGTTATATATTGTGATGCAAGGTTCCAACAATCCAATGTTGGATCCTCATGTGTGGCAGGAATGAGACAAACATGTGGATTAATTATATCAGGTGGTGTAAAACACATGTGGCAAATTGTGCTGAACAAGTGAATGAATTGCCGGCTTTGATATCACGTTAAAATTAGAGCATCCAACTCAAAACCAATTGAAAATGAGCAGAGGCCCCAGGATAATATTTATTATAGTGCAAGACTTGAAATACCCAAAGTGGGATTTTAAAATCTCAACATTCTCACTAACGTGTGGCAGGATTTCACCTGACACATAGATAAATTATATTGGTAATATGGAGCATGTGAGACCAGATTGGGTCTGACGTGTGGATGAATTTTCATAACATACTAAAGTTAGAGAATCCAACCCAAAATTAATGGCTAGAGAGGTCCATGATATTATGTAACGTGGTGCAATGCTTGAAATACCTGATGTGGGATTTTATAATCTCAATATTCTGTTCTTATATTTCCACACCTGAAGCACCAAGATTCGCAAAAAGATCGAATATCAAACTCTCAACTTCATTACACATCTCTTCTGAAACTGCATAACCACAATAACCAATAACATTAGCAATAACCCAAGTAAATGGGAAATACAGCTTAACAGTTATGATCTGAGGGATGGAAGCTGTTCTTTTTCTAAATGAAAATTGTTTCCTTTTTCTTCTGTTTTTTAAATAAATGAAAACTGCTTCCTACAAAGCATGGCAAGAGTAAAGTGAAATGGTAAAGGGGGATAATAATAATTAAACAGGATGCCGAATAAAATATAAGACAAATTAAGTTCAGACACACAGCACACAGAGAAAAACATTATGCACAAACAGAATGCTTTCAAGGAGGCAACCCAAAACATCTTGACACAACTCATCTTTTCTTATACAGTTAACATGTGTCTGCTTGCGCATATACATGTGTTTACATATCATAAGTTGACTATCATTCTTTTGTTTGTTATCAAACAAAGCATCAGCACTTTGGTTTGACAAACCCGACCAACTCAAACACAACCCATAGTTTGAATAACTACCTGGGAAAGTATAGTTAATAAGTTGAACAAATACGGAAATAATTTCTTAGCCCAAATAAAAAGTTCAACAGAATCTGAAGTCTTCAACAGTCCAATCCATTTCTAGGATGAGTTCTATTACCAAATTGTAGAAGTTACAACATGAGAAGTCACTGACAATTTCCATATACTGTTCTTTGACTTAATCATTTAGTTGTAATACGAAGATTAGCAATAACCAAAATGCTTTCCAAGTCAATATTGTTAACTAAGCCGTGAAACAATGATTGAGAATTGTAATGTCATTTTTTTCCTCAACTCACCCGTGAAACAATGATTTGGCAATCAGAAAAACCCAAAGAACCCAATAATAACTTGGACTAACAAAGATAGACCCCTTAGTCTTCCTTGAACAAAGTGAATTTGTAATTTGGCAAGCAAGCCTCCTAACCCATCCAACCTGCTCATGTCCTCCCTTTATCAATGTCCCCACCCTAAAATTATTCATGCAATTATATAACTTCAATTTTGCAAATTAAAGATGCACCCAGTGTGAATAAGTACCTGCAGGACGATCTACTTTGTTTAGAAGAAGAACAGGTCGCAGCCCATATTTTAAGGCTTTCGCAAGTACAAACTTTGTCTGCGCAGGCGGACCTTCCCAGCATCAACAACTAAAATTGCCCCCTCAACCATACCAACAACCCGCTCAACCTATGAATCCATCCATTAAAAAAAAATTTAACAAAAACCAATGAAAACCAATTTCATCCATTAAAGGAAAAAAATTAAAACTTGTTTCCGACTTCCACTCTCAACTAGAAGTCTAAATGAATGTCTGCTGCAGTCGCTTACTTCACCACCAAAATCTGCGTGTCCAGGCGTACCAACCATGTTTAGCTCATACTCCTTCACGGAACTGATGTAACCTACATACAGTTATAAGGTAATTCAATCAAGATTCACCTTATCACAACCAAAATCAACCAAAGTAAAAAACAAAGAACTTGGACAATAAATAAAAAAAACTAAATTAAAGAACAAATAAATTTTGAAAAAACAAAGACGTTCCCCGACTTTATTCCATAGTTGCATTCTACATTTCTCACCCTATCCATTTTTTAATGTTACATATGGGTACTATACAAAATCTCGACTTTGGCTCTTGTTTTCCATTTTCTCAGCAACCAAAAAAGTCCTCGGATCCATCCAAGAAAAATAAAACACGCCCTCAGATTAGATTGCAATTTGCATTGCATTTCTGTAGTAAGTCACTGACCTTTGAGGCGATGGTGATGCCGCGCTCCCGCTCCAGGCTGATGGAGTCCATGGCGCGTTCATGGGGGATGTCGGCCACGCACTGGCGGAGGAGGCGGTCCATGAGCGTGGTCTTGCCATGGTCAACATGAGCTATTACCGCCACGCTGCGGAGCCGGCTTGGGTTCAGCGCGCTGCTCGGTGAAGTAGCATCGGAGGCCGCAGTGGCTGCCGAGAAGGCGCGTGCGAGTGCTGAGGCGCGTGGGGGCAGTAGGTACGGTTTGGGAGCGATGGATGAAGCTGAGGAAGAGAAAGAGTTGCGGGTGGAGGACCAGAGAGAGCGAAGCACCGGCCCCACCATTTCTAAAAACTGAGACGGAAGAAGGGGTATGCTCGTATCGGATACTCCTCCGATACGATACGCCTCCGAGGATACGGCAAACGACGTATCGTGGACTTTTCTGTTATGTTGACCATCCAATACGCCTTCGATACGCCATGGACACACGAGCGATACGGTCCCGATACGGTCAAGGATATGGCGGAGTTTATTTTGCAATATACTTAGCCTCTTCTTCTGGATTTGACATAGGGCTAGTTTTTACTTCTTTCGGAGGTAGAGAAGAAAGAAGAAGAAGGAAGAAGAAAAGATTGCGCTTGCAGCTGCTGCGAAACTCCAGTTGCAGTTGCTCTGGGAAGAAGAGGCGTCTAAATCGTCAAGAAGATGATGTTAGGTGCTCCAATTACAATACGCATCGTTTTACTTGCATACTCCGAGTGAAAGAGACAGTAAGGGTGTATTCAATTGAGATTTTAAAAGACTATTTATGGATAAATAAGTCCAGTGGATTTTAAAAGACTATTTAAGAATATAATGACTTATAAGATTTTTTTGAAAGATTTTTTATATTCAGGATTTTTTATGTTTGGATTTTAAAGATTTATATCATAAGAATTTATAAGATTTGAAAGGACCACATGGATTTTTTATTTGTACGATAACCAACCAACTTAGTTGTGGGCACTTGCATCAGCAATAACATAAACGAGATCAAATGGAATGGAACAATAAATAAAAGCAAACATTCAAAGTTACAAGAGTCAATGAAAACAGGAAGGCTTATAAAATGGGTTATAAAATTGACACCAATCTCTGCCAACATTGGAAGGCTTGACTAAAATGGTTCTGCATCCAAATTGGATTTAAGCTTAAAATTCAACTTTCTTATTAATTTAATATGTAACTATCCAAGGGTTACATACATGTGAGTGATGTTCCTCTTGCAAAATAGAAAGGTCACGTGCCATTCGACATGCAGAGGTTGCAGAGTTTTTGAGGAAAATGTTGGAGAGTGCTACGAGGAAAGAGATGGTTGATGTGGGTGCTGAGCTGATGAGTCTTACAAACAACAGTATATGCAGGCATGCTCTACAATTAATTTGATATGATCCTTGAAATTTTCTCCTATATTTCTATTTTTAACAAGTGCCTGTTTAATAGCAGGATGGCTATGAGCACTAGTTGTTCAGAGAATGGTGAGGAAGCTGAAAAAATCAGGGAGTTGGTAAAAGAATCATTTGAGTTGGCTGCAAAGGTTTGTTTTGGGGATGTGTTGGGCCCACTGAAGAGGTTGGGTTTCTGGGTTGATGGGAAGCAGCTCATGGATGTGACCATGGGTATGATAAACTTCTGGAGGGTGAAGCAGCATGAAGAGAGAGCAGAGAGAGAGGGTTGGGATAGAGAAGATAAAGATTTGATGGATATACTATTGAAGGCCTATCAAGATGATAAAGCCGAGGTCAAGATTTCCAGAACTCATGTGAAGGCTTTCTTGCTTGTAAGCGATTTCAATCCTTTCATCAATATGTCAATCTGTGAAATCGATTAATATTTGCTAAACCCCTTTATCTCTATCAATCTGTCAGCGTTCCAAGTTCAGTTGTGAGCCAACAATGAGAGCTACTGCGAACAATGGGAGCTATCGGGATCGGAGATCGATGAAGCATGTTCTGGACAAAGTTCATGGATACATCTACCTCGAGCCGGTATGAGAATCGATTTCACCGTTTAACTTCTCTTGCGATTTCACCAAGAACTGTTCATCTTCTCTCGCAGAGAGAAAAAAATCTCACGTGAAAAGTCTGACGGGTTATGGTGAGATTTTTTTAGGGTTTGGTATTTATACCTCCCACTAAAAAGTCACACAAATTCCTTCTTTAAAAAAAAATCCTTTGAAATTAGCAAGTTTTTGAATACCAAAAGACTTTTGTTACTTGTTTAAAGTCTCGATTGAATACCACTAGATTTGGACACCCTCTTTAAAAAATCCTAAAAGTCCTTATTGAATACCAACAGACTTGTTTAGATTATTTAAAAGTCTTAATTGAATACCACAAGACTTATTTATCCCAAAATAGTCTTTTAAAATCCTAATTGAATACACCCCCCTAAGTTTCACAATGGGCTAGTGCCTAGGTCTGTTTCACTAAAAAGCCCACTATAGAAGCATGATAACCAAATGAGTCCGTCTATAGTGAGGGGAAGTTATAAGGGGTGTGTTTGAGGGGTATGTAAGAGCCGTTAGATTCATCTAACGGTGAGTTTTTAAAGAGGGTGCATGTAGAACCGGGTTGAAATCTGACCCATTGGAGACCATTCTTCAGTTGAAGAACTTACCCTCTTTGTGAAAAACTCAAGAACACAATCCTCTCTTTTTGAATGTAACGCAAACTCACAATTAGAAAGATCCAAAACTCCCAAACCCTATAGTCGCTCTATGTCATCAGCTCCTTGGGAGGCCTGTGATTTATGGTATCCTCAGTATGATGATTAATGGCTCTTACCTAGATGTTGCCCTATTTTGATTCTATGGCTCAAGTGAAAACCCCTTCTCTTTTTCGTTCAGCAGACGAGATTCTAGATGAAAGCAAAGTAGCATATCTTTTTCTGTAGCTAGACGCCGCAGCAGCAGTTGTTCCTCGATTGTGGTAGACATGGAGTCTCCACCACATTCTCTCAAGCTAACTGACTTCGGAGCTCCCGATTGACTTTGAGAGGTAAGTTCACTCTTGCTAGATTGATTTTATTAGGTTTGGTTTGTTTTTTGTGAGGGTGGGAAATTCTTCATTTGTGGCATCAATAATGCGTCATTTGTGGAATCAATAATGCGTCATTTCTGCCATCAATAATGCATCATTTCCTTATGAATATTCAATATATTTAGTTGATTGTTTTTTGTGGGGGTGGGAAATTATGAAATGTAGGTAAAAGATCCTAAACTTAGGCTTAATGGCATTAGGAGTAAGCATTTGGAGAGGATATTGGGTGAAGTTATGTAATTGCTGGTTTGAATTACATTTGTGTTTTTAGTTGAACATGTTGGTTCTAATGTTATTTTTTCCAGATTATTTCACAAGAGATGATGTAACTATTATTAAATTTTACTTGCGTTTTGTGTAATCGGAATCCAACAAGCTAGGCTATGCGTCTTTTGTGTCAATTTGGGCAATGTTTTGCGTAAGTGGAATGCATTGATATGTAGTAATGCAGTAATGATTGATTAATGAATTAATATTTGCTATGCAGTAATATAGAAATAGTTCAATAATATATGTGGGTAAAATGTCTGGGGGCTCAGAGAGTGATGACTGTGTAACAGCTAATGGGACGGTTTACATTCCTGAAGTAAGAAATGAGGAAACACCAGCAGTTGGGATGAAGTTCGACTCGCTTGACCTCGTTTATAATTTGTATAATAGATATGCATTTTTGGCTGGCTTTGGTATTCGACTTCATTTCAGCTTTTGGGGGAAAAATAAGAAAGAGATTATGAGGAAAGAATTTGTATGTTGCAAACAAGGTGCATACAGGAAAGATGAAACTCGGGAGAGAAAAAGACAGTGGGGAATAAGTAGATGCAATTGCAAAGATAGGATTGTGGTTGTGAAGACAAATGGGAGCAAGAAGTATACCATCTCTCTTTTTGCAGAGGGACACAATCATAAGATGACACCCTCAGAAAGAGTGCATTTATTGAGATCACACATTCGTATTTCAGATTCTACAAAAGTACTCACAAAACAGTTGGGTTCGGTTAATATCCCCATTCATCATAAGGTAAGTATTTTCGAGGTGCAATTCGGAGGAATGGATAAAATTGGTTTTATAAAAAAGGATATTTACAATCTTGAATGTAGTGTGAATGGGAAGTTGAGGAGCCACGATGCTGAACTAGTGACCGAGTATTTTATGGCTGAACAGAAAAAAAAATGAGGCTTTTTATTTCAAGATAGAGGGAGATGGCGATGATAGGTTTAGTCGATGTTTTTGGGCAGATGCAACTTCTAAACGAGCGTACGGGTTTTATGGAGATGTTGTTGTATTCGATACCACATTCAACACGAATCGGTATGACTTGACATTTGCACCAATGTTGGGAGTTAATAACCATGGTCAGACAATTGTCTTAGCATGCGCATTTTTGAGCAAGGAAATGACTGAGTCGTTTATTTGGATGTTTGAGGAGTTTAAGAAAACAATGCCAGGTGGCGAACCTACAATGATCATTATAGATCAAGATGCGGCAATGACCAGAGCAATTTCAATAGCCTTCCCGACTACATGTCATCGACTTTGCATATGGCACATCATATCAAAGTTCTCTGTTAAGTTACCACATTCTACTTATAAGGAGTATTGACGTGAATTTCAGAAAGTCATATGGGATACTGACAATAAGGATGAGGTTGATGCAAAGTGGAATATTGTGGTTACAAAGGCTAGTTTGACTGACCATCCATGGCTAAGTTCAATGTTTGATTTGAGGGAATCTTGAGTTCCAGCCTATGCACAACACTTTTTTGCCGCTGGAATGTCAAGCAACCAAATAGTGGAAGGTTCTCATGCTTTCTTCAAGCAATACATATCAAGGAGAAATTCGTTGATGGATTTCATAATATGATTTGAGAGGGTACTTTCTCATCAATGTCAAAAGAGTTAGTTGTTAATCACGTAGATGCATTTGAAGTGGCTCAATGTATTCTACCGATGCCAATGAACAAACAAATGGCTACCTTGTACACAAGGACAATGTTTCAAAAGTTTGAGCAAGAACTAATACAAAGTACAACATGTTTCCTAGAGCTCAAAACAGAGGATGCTTCTAAAGTTGTCTTTAATGTGAGTGAAAGGAAAATTTGGAAACAAGAGTGGCAGAAGTCGTATATGTCAAAGATTCTGACCACGCATCGTGTAGCTGCAAAAGATTTGAATTTGTTGGAATTATTTGCAAGCACATCCTAGCATTGTTCAGAAGGGACCAGATTGAATATATGCCCGATAAATATATTTTGAAGAGGTGGAAGAAAACTACGAAATCTGAATTGGTATAAGATGCAAATGGCAACGAAATTAAAGATTGTGCAGATCCTGGTCTTTTAATAAAGCGGAGTACAATGCCCTGACGTGCTTCAGATGTGGTTGATGATGCATTAATGTATGAAGAAGGATGTGAGCTACTGTCAGAGACTCTAAAAAGTTTGCGGGTGAAGTTGTTGAAGGATGGAGCAAGTAATAACGAAGTTGGAGGGTCCAGCTCTCAAACACAATATATGAAAGACCCTAAGAGAGTAAGGTGCAAAGGAAGGTCGAAAGGAGTAACGGGAGCAAAGGAAAAGGCAATGAAGCGAGGGATTAGACACTGTCAGGAGTGTGGACAAATTGGTCATGATATAAGACAATGCCTAAGAAATTTGAACACACCGTAAGATGTTAAAACTATTTATAATAACACCTAAAATTTGAATAGGTAAATTTTTTATGTGCTTGTGTTGGTGTTTATGCAGGACATCACCGTCGAACAATGACGAATCAACTCTAATAGATCTTAGTGACCCATTATTGGACGAATTTGACAGGATGCACGGACCAACTGAATGATTTATGTTTCTATTATACGAAGCCCAGTTGTTATGAAGACTAATGATCAGGTGAAGTTTTTCTAGATGCAGTTTTATTATTATATTTTTTTGTTCATGTTCACTGATGAGCTCTTACTATGTCACTGATAATGAAATGAAAATGTGCTTGGTTGATTCTTGCATGAAATTTGGACATATGTTAATTTTACGTCTTCTTCCTATTTAGAAATTTTCATAGACATTTGATAAAGTATCAAATTTTGAGTTATGTGAAGAAGCAATGACTTTTACCATGTAAAATGGGTAGTTTATGGTGAATTATGTTTTTACAGGGATTCATTGATTATATCAGGCTAATGCAGCATTTCCAGCAGCTAGCTGTTGTTTCCATTAGCAGTAATGATTTCCAACAGCACTCATATTTCCAGCGGCACCCACTTTTTCCTAATGTTATGTTCTAGTGTTTTACTGGTTATTAAGATCCGAGCTCGACTAGTTATTAGGTGCACGATTTTGTAAACATTCGTAACTGAAGGATACTTGAAGCACTTTGTTGGAACAGAAATGATTAGAAAGCAGCGTGTAAAAAAGTACATTGCAGCTAATCACATTTCGAACGTTTGGAGAATATTAAAGGGTACACTAACATTTGAACTACTCATAATTCCACACATAAGAAAATTTGATTGTAAAGTATTTATGTGCTCCCTCTTAACAATACCCGATCTCCCCAACCAATGAACAACGGTAGCCACAATCACTCGGTCGTATTGGTCAGCTTCTTCTTAGCAGGTCTCACGTGCTTATGGTCACTCATGTCCCAGTGATATAGATGAAATAAATATTCAGCAATATTTGGAATTTTATTATATATAAATAAACCATAAACCATTCACTAAACAATGTATAGCACATGGTATGTTACTTATGACTCACGGTTAGCTTTTTGAGAAAAAAGTACGCCAGCTCTTTAATGTGAATGGACATGATAATGAGACTTTACTGATTCCAACATGCTGTGATATTGACAGCTATTGATATTTGTGTTATTTTAAATTAGATAATGACATTAGGGGAATATACTTCTAATTTATGCAATACCACGATCACCCACAACCAACTGAACAGCGGTAGCTGCAATCACTTAGTCGTATCAGTCGGCTTCTTCCGAGCAGCTTTGACGTGCTTATGCTCACTCATGTCACCACCATCATCTAGTATCTCTCTCACAGCATCAGGGGGTACATAGTCCCAATTATAACTTGTATGAGTAGTTGCCGCAAATGCTCGGAATTTTTTGAATCCTTCGTTGAATACCAACTCCAGTTCACTGTGGTGCTCTTCGCATCGCATATGGTTCATCAAACGACCTATAATTTCATCATTCATTACTGTATCCAACTCCTCAGCATTCAGCTTCCTTTTATGACTCAGCTTCAAGTACTTGTTCTTTTGGGAGAACGCTTTGTTAACTCTAATGTTAAGATCAGCCAAAATGGCCTCGTCTTCAACACATTTCTTGTGCCATGAATTGATCAGTATGGAATTATAATCTAGCTTGCTATTGACTGCATGTATTGTCTCTAATGGATCATCGGAGTCCCCCTCACTCCCAAATGATGTTGAAAATGGAAGGGGTCGGCGAGTACAACGTGGAAAGGAACCTGAAACTCCAATTTTTCATCTTCGCTGTGTTGTTTGCGCCTGAAGAGTTTGACATGCTTCAATAATCCTATTTGTTTAGAGGATGAGGATTGCATATGCAATTTCATTTGAGAAAGGGGATATAGCTTTATAGACCAACATACCAAAGCTTGCGTGTGGTCAACATATGTACTTTATTTCAATTTTTAAAAAAAGAGATGTTAGGTTTTGCTTTTCAAGCATGTCAACCTCACACCTCTCCTTACACCACTGTTAGTGGTTGAAAGAAACTTAATGGAAGTGACATCTAGTTAGTGAACCCAACCAAACTAACCAAACTATTAGGATTAAACTTAGATTGTATCATACCAAAATTAATTTATACATTGTCAACCAAATGTTTTTTGGCGGGAACCCTTTTATTAGTATACTATCACCCCCTTCATAGAAACTCTCCCTCCACAAAAAACTCACTCCTTCACCGAATCTGTCTCCATATACTGAAACTCTCTCCTCCACAGAAACTCTCTCCCCCCATAGATGGATTTACTAACCAAGTTTGATGTGAGCATAATACACACCTCTCCAAAAAAAGACCGCCTTCGAACGCAAGTGAGTCACTAGACAAGCAGTGTCACATTCCTGAACAGAATGACCCTTTTGTTGGAAGTTTGAGTTTGAAAGAGTTCTTGCTTTCTGGAAGGAGAGGCATCTTCAACTTGGTGATGAAATCCAAAAGGCCAAAGGCATGTTTGGAATTTGTTGAAGGCCAAATTGAAGATGACAAAAGGCAGGCCAATCTGGATAGGGCGAAGTTGCAGCACATGAAGTGTAAACACAACGACTTCGGAGTGTAGCTGTTCAAAAATACAAGAACTCATCTAATGCAGTGGAGTCAAAGAAGCGTGTCATGCAAGCTGGATTCGACTACTTCCGATCCTATGCAAAACTCATCGTACCCGGGTTTGATTGGTCATTTATTACCGTTTCCGACGTTAACGAAATACTCAGCAAGGGAAGTAACCATTTTGGTTCTTGTGTTTAGCAGAGGCAAATAAGTGGAATTGAAATTTTCGTTCAACTCTGCTTCAAACCTTAATATTTTGATGTATTTAATTATGATAACACAATATGCAAAGTGCCCATCTACTTCAGTCATATGTTGCTGCCATGTCCATTTCTTTTATCACATATCAAATTTGGACATGGTTGCATCATATGCCATGTTGCCTTTATTTATTATATGTTAGGGCAAGGTTTATGAAAAACATTTGTGAGTGCGTTTGTGACAAGGTTATGGCATTATTTTGTACCAGTTATGTTAGTACAAAATTCGTATTGGCATTTCCTAGACTTTAGTATTGGGTGAAAATTAGTTTGTGAGGAATTGTTACTGAATGCTTTGTCACTACTCTTTCAACCCCATACTTCCGAGGCATGCCCTGACCATATGAGAACTTGACTACAGGTAAATCATGACATATCATGCATTCATGTTAGGACTTATAGTTGAAGTTAGTTTTAGAGTCTTTCTGATTGAAGTTAAAATATGAGATGTTCCTTTGCGGCATGCACTATGTTTATCTTCCAATTAACTTGCTTTAGAAGTTATTGGTTCTTTATTAAAGTGGACGTTTGGTAATATCATGAAGAGTCCATAATGAACCAAGATGGGTATGTTTATTGAATCAGAATTTATCTTGCTATTGGATAAGTGTTTGGCTCTTGGGTGCGTCACCTAAGGAGTTTCATATTGCATCAGGTTCAAGGTGACTTAGCTGACTCGGTGTCTCATACGGTTGAGGGCACCAAGACGTTTGTGGCGTTTTATACTCTGGTGAGCTTGAAGCAATCGTGACCACATTGCGTTCAACATAAGGAGTAACAAAGATCATCCCGTGACAGAAGTTGAGTTACGAAGAAGTCGGTAAACATTATCTAGATTGAGTCTAGGATAAGTGTGTGTGAGTAATTCTGTAATCTCAATTCTATAGTGGATTTGTTCTGGACTAGTGAGTCTTGTGGATTTTCCCCCATGTGGGGTTTTACCCACGTAAATAAATATCTGCGTGTTCTTTTGTTTTAAGCTTTGCACACCTAGGATGATAACTCATATCAATCCTGCTTCACAGTTGATTATGTTATTGCAAAAATTAGAATTAGCATGTTTAACCTTCTTTAGGCACATATAGACTCCTACAGGTACTTTCAATTGGCACAGAGCAAGTTGCTGGACATACTCAGCAGATCTAACATACCTTAGGATGGATCGTGCCGCGGTTTCTGTTGCACATCCACTATTTTCGATGGCAACAACTATGGTGCTAGAAGGCTAAAATGAAGTCGTTTTCTTTGGTCCTTAGATGAACGTGTATTGTACATAGTATTCATGGATTTCTGAACCCACAAAGAAGATCGGAAAAGGAGATGAAGAAACCACAATTCTCAAATCTAGAGAGGAGTGGACCACTGCAGAAGTCACACTAGTACTAATAATCAAAAGGGTTAAATGCTATATTTACTGGCTTGTATCTTCTGATCAATTTGAATATATATATATATATCTAGTTGTGATACTTCTAAGGAAGCTTGGGATATTTTGCAGGTCACTCATGAAGGAACAGATACTGTCAAGGGTGCCAAGCTTCAAATGCACACCTACAATTTGAGACAATTCTGATGGATGAGAATGAAACCTTTTCTGAATTTATGCCAAACTATGCGTTATTGTGAATGCATGTTCAATTTAGGTGAAAAATTCCAGAAGATAGGGTGGTGAAAAAGATTTTATGGTCCTTGCCTCCACCTTTTCACCAAAGATCACAGCCATTGAAGAGATTCATGACCTGAACACTCTGAAAGTTCGTGAACTTATAGGGTCTCTTCAAACCTACGAGATGAAGCATCTAGCTCCTAAGAAAAATAAAAGCGTTGCTCTTAAAGTAGTTGATAAAGAAGATGGTGAACCCCCAATATGAAGAATTCAATGGGGAGAAGTGTTCATGAACTTATAGGGTCTCTTCAAACCTACGAGATGAAGCATCTAGCTCCTAAGAAAAATAAAGCGTTGCTCTTAAAGTAGTTGATAAAGAAGATGGTGAACCCCAATGAGAAGTCAATGGGGAGGAATTTGCTTATCTTTCACGACAATTCAAGAAGTTTTTCAAATATCAAAATTCGAAGTCATGATTCAAAAAATCACTCAAGTATAAATTCAAAAATTAAGCATGGTGATTATACTGATGGTATTTAAAATCTTGTAGGTTACTGAGAAGAAGACCACTAAAGACAGAGTCAATGCTATGAATGCGAAGGATATGGACATATTTCCACTGAATGTGCCAACACACAAAAGAAGCAAAATGGCAACCCAAAGCACTGAATGTAACCTGGAGTGACAGCGATTCAGAATCAGAAAGTGAAGAAAATACCATTGCGTTAATCACCACAGTGTAGTTTTGGATAGGCACAGCAAAACAATGGGAATGATGAAAACCAAATATTGGTTATGTGCTGGAAATATGACGATCTTTCTCTGCTTCTCAGAAACTGAATCACACCAAAGAGCTTGCCAAAAAGGTTGCTGTGCTGGAGCTTGAAAATAGTAGGATTGCAGGACATTACAATCCTCTGCTGCTGAACCAGAAACAATTGGTGAAGGTATGTGTGAAGGTATGTACAAAAAATTGGAATTATTACAGAAAAATGCTTTGATCAAAATAATTAATTGATCTTTGACCTCTAACAACCAAGCCCTTGAAATTGAGCTTAAAAGTTCAAGGGAAAGGATTATTGCTTTGACAATTGGTGCAGAAATGGTTGACAAAATGATTAGCATGGGTCGAAGATGGAGACAAACGTGGCTTAGGTTTTGATTCACTCAACAAGTCTTCCGCTGTATCTGTTACAAAGTTTGTCAAACCATCACTTTCTACTGGTATTCCAACTCTTCAAACAACTTGGAGATTTACACCACAGTGTCATTATTGTGGAGCTCGTGGACACATCCGACCAAAATGCAAACTGTTTCAACAGATTTTTGTAAGTCAAAAATCCACCAAGGAGGGACAGGTAAGAATTCGAAACAAGATTGCATATCTTGTAAAAGAGGTAAGTAGGCTGTCAAAACTCTCTCATTCCCTATCTTTACCAAGTTCAAATCTAGTGTGGAGAAGAAAAGATAATCAAAATTGCTTGCTGGCAATTTCAAGTGATACACATCAAACTAATTCTCCTGAAATATTAGATGTGAAATGGTTTGTTGCTCTTACTGCTCTTTCTGACCTAAATCTAAATCTTGGTATTTTGATAGTGGATGTTCAAGACACATGACGGTGAAAAATCATATTTTTCAGAAATCTCTATAGAATGTGTGTGTGGAATGGTCACTTTTGGAGATAGAAGAAAATCCAAGATTTTGGGCAAAGGAAAGATTATGGCAACTGGTACACCTAGCTTGGACAATGTTTTATTAGTTGAAAATCGTCAAGCAAATCTCATCATGTAAGTCAACTTTGTGATGAAATAGGTGAGGTAAGTTTTACTAAAACCCAATGTATTGTTAATGATAAAGATGGATCAAATGTGATGATTGGAAACAGATCACCTGCAAATTGTTATTGTTTTTCCACTAATGAAGTTTCTCAAGTTTGTTTTAGGACAAGTAAATCATCTTGATTTATGGCATCAACGTTTGGGACACATGAACTATCAAGACTTAATTAAATTGTCCAATTGTGAATTTGTAAGAGGATTGCCCAATCTTTCAGGTAAACGTGAGGGTGTTTGTGAAGGTTGCCAACTGGGGAAGCAAACCAAAAACCCTCACAAAGCTACAAACTCAATCTCCACTTCTAAAACTTTGGAATTGAGGCATATGGATTTGGTTGGGTCCAATTCAAGTTGCTAGCTTAGGAGGGAAAAAGAATACATTCTTGTCTTAGTAGATGATTTCTCACGTTTTACTTGGGTCATTTTTTTGCATGATATACAGAAGCCTTTAATTCCTTCTATGTTTTGTACAAGCTAATCATGAATGAAAAATATGACACTAATTCTTGTATCATGAGACTTAGGACAGACCATGGGATGGAATTGAAAATCGAGCTTCTCTTATTTCTGTTTTGAACAAGGAATAAAACATGAATTTTCTGGGCCAATCACTCCCCAACAGATGGGGGTAGCTGAAAGGAAAAATAGAGTCCTCCTTGACATGGCTTGTGTCTTGTTAAAAAGTGCCAAATTGGCGGATCATTTTTGGGCTGAAGCCATCAGTTCTGCATGCTATACATCTAACCGTGTGTTTTTCAGGCCACATACCAAAGCACTCCATATGAAATCTGGAAAGGAAAGAGAAACCAAATGTCAAGCACTTAAGGACTTTTGGTAGTAAATGCTACATTTACAAAGACATGGATATCTTGGAAAATTTGATGCAAGAAGTGATGTTGGAATATTTCTTGGTTATTCTATGAATAGTCGAGCATATAAGGTGTTTAATAGTCGCACTAAAATAATAATGGAATCAGCTAATGTGGTTGTAAATGACACTTCTATATTGCAGGTTGAACCTAGGAGTGAAGAGACAGATATGGAAACTCACGAATCTACAGATGGTACTGAAGCTGACTTCGAGGATTGTAACCAGCCCATCAATCCTGTGATACGCAGACCTGGTGCAAAACAAGTTCAGAAAGATCACTCACCCTCAGATGTTATGGGAATGTTAATGATAAATTGAGAACTCGACAACAAGTCTGTAATGAGGTAACCAATTTATGTTATGTATCCTTTATTGAACCTAAGAGTGTGACAGATGCTCTTGCAGATGACGACTGGATTCTGGCTATGCAAGATGAATTAAATCAATTCGAAAGAAATGATGTGTGGTATCTTGTTCCACGTCCCAAAGACTCAAATGTAATTGGTACCAAGTGGATCTTTCGAAATAAGACAGATGAGAAAGGGCAAATTGCGCAACAAAGCTAGACTTGTTGCCCAAGGTTATTCTCAAATTGAAGGTTTGGATTTTGATGAGACTTTTGCTCCGGTTGCACGTTTAGAATCTGTTCGATTGTTGCTATCCATGGCATGTTTTCTTCGGTTCAAGCTTTATCAGATGGATGTAAAGAGTGCGTTCCTAAATGGAGTTTTACAAGAGGAAGTCTATGTGGAACAACCTGCAAGTTTTCACGATCCTATCCATCCCAATCATGTATATCGTCAGAAAAAGGCTCTCTATGGACTCAAACAAGCCAGAGAGCATGGTATGATAGATTGTCCACACATCTTCTTCAAAAAGGGTACACACGTGGTAGCATTGATAAGACCCTCTTTGTCAAAAGAACCAAACAGGATTTAATGGTTGCTCAAGTATATGTGGATGATATTGTTTTGGATCTACTTCAGACATCCTTGTCAAAGAATTTCATGAGGTAATGCAACCGAATTTGAGATGAGCATGTTTGGGTGAACTAAATTTTTTTCTTGGTTTGTAGGTCCAACATTCAATGGAGGCATGTTCATCTCTCAAACAAAGTATGCCAAAAATTTGGTGTCCAAATTCGGTCTAGAATTGCCAAGCCCATTCGAAATCCTATGAGCACAAGCACCAAACTTTCCAAGGATTACGTGGCAAAAGTGTAGACCAGAAATTATATAGAAGCATGATTGGCAGCTTGTTATATTTGACTGCCAGTAGACCTTGACATCTCCTTCAGTGTTGGACTTTGTGCTCGCATCCAATCTGATCCCAAAGAATCACATCTACTTGCTGTGAAAAAAAATTCTCCGCTATGGTGAGTGGTACCACAAACTTTGGTGTATACTACTCATTGACTCAAATGTTGAACTTGCAGGCTATTCCGATGCGGATTGGGCTGGGAGCATTGATGATAGAAAAAGCACAACTGGCGGCTGCTTTACATAGGCAACAACCTTGTCTCTTGGTTTAGCAAGAAGCAAAATTGTGTCTCTCTCTCCATGGCCGAGGCCGAGTACATAGCTGCTGGGAGCTGCTGCACACAGTTGTTATGGATGAAACAAATGCTAAATGACTATGCATTCGGCAAGGTAAAATGGTAACGTTTTTGTGATAACATGAGTGCAATTAATATCTCTTAAAATCTAGTTTCAACATTCTCGCACAAAACACATTGATATTCGTCACCATTTTATTCGTGAATTAGTGGAAGAGAATGTGCTCTCACTTGAATTTGTCTCTATTGAAAAACAATTAGCTGATATTTTCACAGAACCTCTAGACAATCTACAGTTTGAAACCCTTAGACAGTCATTAGGTATTTGTGCTCTAGATTAATTCGGAGACTACTGCATGCCAAAGCCTATTCTTGTTGCATGATGTTTAAATTATTTTCTATTTTTATAACTCTGTCCAGCTCGTGCAAGGATTGTTAGGCTGTATCAATCCTGTAGCTGTCTGAACGTATTTACTGATCTTAGATTGGGCTATGGTACAACACTCCATTGAAGACACACACTCACAGCTTTCCACAAAGGTTTCCATTGTCGTGGTGCTTTATAAACTTCGTTCAATGATCTATCCATCTCCTTATTTTTATTTGCACACCACACTCTTCTCCTTGAAGTCCCTTGAATATTTCTACTCATGCACTTATCTCTCTTTGGATTGCCACAACTCTACTGTGCGTAAGTTCTTGATCTGGTTAAATCATTAATTCAAAAAAAAAAAAAAAAGGTGGTGACTTCTCATTGCTCAGTAACTGGGCCCTCTTGTCTAACCAACGTCGAGGTTCGAGTCAACAGGTTGTGTGATTGGTTGCTATCCTTGCTTATCTTTGGAGCCTTCATGATTCGGATCAGTATTTCCCCAGGGGTGCTTTATCACCCCAGTTGCTTCCAGTCATCTGAAACGTTGATTGCACATCCGATTGACCATCCGTTACATGTGGAAACAAGCTACAAAAGCTAAATAAAGTAAAAAAAAAAAAAAAAAAAAAAAAAAAAATTAAAATTACAATTCAAGTCTCAAATAAACCGATCTTCTTATACTTACAATGCACTTAGTGTATGTGTCATCTTTGGTGGGATCAGTCTTGGGTGGACATATTTTTTGTGCTTAATTGAAAGGAGTTCACTTCACACTTTGCTTCCTGATGGTAGACTCATTGGTGATGTTTATTTTCACCATGCATGTGGTATGCCTCCTTTATTATCTGTGAATTGTGTGTTTCATGTGGTGGGCTTGCGTTTGTCCCTGCCATGCTTTGCTTCTTATGCACTACAGACAGCGATGGGTGGCGTGAGAAAATAACTAACGCACAAATTAAACCCTATAAATCATGCAATCGTAGTACGAGTAAGTAGGGATCGTTCTATTCCGGGGATTAGGAGGGATGCTAATCAACACAAATTAAACTTATTAAACTGGAAACTAAGTTAAGGGAACAATGATTGGGGGGAATTCTGACGATTTAGACTAAAGTAAGACTAACAGCAGCAAACAACTAAGTTGTGAATGAAATATGGATTAAGGGATAGCTAGAGGATTCTTCTCCACACATGGAACATATGCACACAAATCGATCTCCAGTTACTCTTTCTATAAAGTATGAATGACAAAGCCCCAAATTAATTGTGAATGCACTAATTAACTCTCAGATTTTCCTAAGTTCATTGAATTGGACTCAGCGACGCAATCAAATTATCCTTATCAAGTTCCCTATATGAACAGCATGATAGAGATACATATCAAAGATCATTAAGTTCTATGAAAATCATAAGCCTTGACAAGACAATTGTAACTATGAAAAGCATGATACTCCTGCCAAGAATTTACTTAACACAATCATGACTAGTGACTTTTACTACTTGTGAATATAAGTTCATAACGATTAGGTGAAATTCCCTTATATTCTAGCATCAAATCCCTGCATACAAACTAAGTATGCATCCTTAATAAACATGCAAGAATAAGTCCTCAATAAAACAGAAAAGTAAATCACATTCATACTTTATGAAACCATAACTGGAAGTAATCAATTCATGTAAAACATATGTCCATGGCTTCGAATTCACCTCTAACTAAGAAGAAATTCAGTTACACATGTTCATAATAATTGAAAAGCAATATAGAATAAACATTTGAACTAATCAAGGGAAGAACTCTGAAAAACCCAATGGATGCAGCAGGTTCCGGCTCCAAGTTCTTCTTCTCCCTTTCTCCTTTCTTGCTACGGCACCAAAAGAACTCCCTTCTCCTGCGGCAACCCCTCCTTTATATATGTGGTAGATCTAGGGTAAAAGGGCCCAGCAGAAACCCACGAAATTAGGGTTTTGTTTGAAAGATTTCTTTAGGAATAATAGGGCCCAATAGAAACCCACGAAAATTAGGGTTTTTAGGTTTCCTAATCTGAAATTAATCCCCCCCTTTACAGCTGGAATTTAGGTCGAATAGGATTAGGATAAGGTAAAATAAAATAAAATCAGTTAGGGTTTTTTACTTCCCAGAAGCTGATTCTTGAATTAATTTCCCCATCTTTTTAGCACATTCCTAGCCTCTTCGAACTTCAAAAACGTCCATCCATCTTGGCCCATGCATATGCTACCCATTCCAAGTCCAAAACTGCTCTAAAATGCTCCAAAATGCCCTTTCTTGCCAATCTTGCCATCTGGACCTACAATAGTACGAAAATAAGCTAAATCACTCTAATAAATGGGAATTAACTAAGTAAATGCAAAGAAATAAGATACCAAAGTCGCATAAATATGCTCCTATCAATGGGTCTGCTCCTACTATCTCTTCTTCCTCACATACCTGACATGTTTATGAATGGAAAATAATTTCATCTTCCTGAGAGCTTTGTGTCTGCATCAAAAGTGTGTTCTATATCTTGGTTGTCTTGAGTCTTCTATCTTACGCGTGTTCTATGTTTTTTTTCCTTCTTTTGTTTCCCATTTCCTAGTTTTCTTTTCGTTTTTTTTTGTCCATAAAATTTTTATGATTATAAAAAAAAAGGAAAAAAAAGAGAAAAGATAATTGAAACCACACGGTGCGTTTTACTTTGTGCGTTTAAATTGTGCAGATTAGGTCGTCTTCTTCCTCAATCATATTCGATCTCTCTTCAGCCTCCATTGCCGTCAACCAAGGGTCACGGGTCTTGCTCCATCGCATCACCATGGTCACCACACGGAGCTGTCGTACCTCCTCCTCCGCTGCCACTGATCACAGCCCCCTAGCTCCGTGCACCTCCGAACTGATGCTTCTCCTTCCTCAATTGTCACGCCGACTGCAAGCCCATCACGGCCGTCCTCCTCCCTGCGCTTTCGCTCCAGTACTACGTCTCGTGCGTCCCCTCATCCACCGGTCTCCTACTTCGTTTCTCAGGTGTGCGCTACTCGGTATACAGATGTAATCTGTCATCGTCCTATGTTAATCGAAGAGGACTTCGATCTCTCTAGTTTTGGCCCCACTTTTGTTGATTTTCTCACAAGGCATCGTCTCTTGCCATTAGTTCGTGGGTTGCCTCTATCGAATTTTCAGATTGTTCGGGAGTTTTATGCAAATTTTCCTGATGTATCCGCTGCCTCTATTGCTCTGTCTGGGTTGGTTGTGCGTGTGCGTGGGGTTGCGATTCCGCTCAGTTTCCATTTTATTTCGGCTGCACTGGATCTGCCTCCTATTCGCTCTGGCAGTTCGTGTGTGCCCGTTCTTGATTTTCTTCCGCGTCGTCAGCTAGTGAATTGCCTCTATGTGTCTCCACCTGAGGTGCTCCCCACTAAACTCTCCTCTGGTATGATGTCTCAGTGGACCCGTACTCTGTATATGCTTGTGCGAAACTATCTGAATCCCACTTCTCAGCATGGGAAAGTGAGTTGGAAAGCTGCTCATATTCTCTTCCAGCTAGTGATTGAGTAATCTGTCAATGTTAAGTTCTATGTTCGTGAAAGCCTTATTGTCGCTGGTGCTGCCAATGCCACAGTTCCGACATCCAGTCTTGTTCTTCCTCGGATTATCACTGCCTTGGCCGCTCATGCTCGTGTCCCTGCCCTACCTACAGATGATATTGGCTCATCCGACTCCATCAAAGTCAACAACCAAGTCACTTTACACCGCAGTGATGCTCACTGTACTTCTGGTGGTTTCTCCATCGAGCAACAGGCACTTTTGGATTTGCTCTCTGCATCCCATCAGGTGACGCATGCACTTCTTCGTTGCATCTGGAATCGTCTTGACACCTATAGTGAGCTGTTGCTGTCAGTTGCTGGGCACATTCAGCCTGTTGATCCTCCTAGTCCTCCTCAGGCTCGCAGCATCTAAGGTTCTTCTGTTCTGCTTCTGGTTATACTCTTTTTGAGGTCATCTCTGTGTCCCTTTGGATTTCCTAAACAAAAAGGGGGAGAATATTTTGTGGTACATATGAGATTTAAGGGGAGTAAATATTTTGTGGTACATATGAGATTTAGGGGGAGTTAATGTTTTCTGTCTTTGGGATCAGAACCTGTGGTACTCTGCTTAACCTCCTGACATATGAAATATTTAACTGTGCTAAGTTCTGGCTATTATTATCTCAATTCTATTATGCTTCACTGGTAGTCTGGTTGTTGGTGTGCAGACATTGCAAGAACTGAATATCTGTTTGACAAAGCAAAGTAGGATATGCAAGTTTTTTTTCTTGTAAACGTATTTGAAATGTAATCCAGTGTTTTGTCCAGGAAATGTCAAAGGGGGAGATTGTTAGTACGAAATTCGTATTGGCATTTCCTAGACTTTAGTATAGGGTGAAAATTAGTTTGTGAGGAATTGTTACCAAACGCTTTGTCACTACTCTTTCAACCCCATACTTTAGAGACATGCCCTGACTATATGAGAAACTTGACTATAGGTAAATCATGACATATCATGCATTCATGTTAGGACTTATAGTTGAAGTTGGTTTTAGAGTCTTTGTGATTGAAGTTAAAATATAAGATG